TTGTTAGCCATGACTTAAAAACAACGGCAAACTGTAATCGAGCCGCAGCTAAGGCTTTTCGAATGTAATGGGCACTTCGAAGATCTTTCAAGCTATTAGACGAGGGTATGTTCCAAGTACTCCATGCAACATATGTCAGGCCTTATCTAGAGTACTGCATACAAGCGGCGAGTTCATGCTTCAAAAAGGAGGCACATACCCCGGAAAGAGTAAAGAGGGTAGGAACGAAATTAGTAAGCGGTATCTCACACCTTCCTTATGATAAGAGGATGGAGCATTTAAATATCTTCCCATTATCATACCGAAGGAGGAGAGGCGACTTAATTTTGGCTTACCGCATATTCAAGGGTGATTTAGGGATTGACCTTTCAAACCTTTTCTCTCCCTCTAGGATACATTTACGGGGTCACCAGAAGAAGGTGCTCAAACCAAGGTCGAATAAAATACGTGTGGAGTTTAGATTCTCTCACAGAGTGGTCAACGACTGGAACTCCTTACCTGATTCAGTAGTAACAGCTCCATCGGTGAGCGCTTTTAAAGAGAAACTAGATCTCTGCTGAGTTATATATCGCGAGGATTAACATCGACAACAAGAGCCTTCTATCCTTATAATCCGATCTGAATATCATTTGTCATTGTATATTGTCAAATTTTCAAATGAACTTAACGCTCAACTCATGAAAAATATTTAGGAAACCTGAAGAACGAATAACTGGCAGACTAAACACATGCGTTCACTTGATCTTCAAACTGAATCATAAAACTTTTAAAATAAATTAGGCAAATATAAAAAGGAAATAATTAATTCGTGTCCTTATAGGGTTTTTGTCCACTTTGTTGCTCGCCTCTTCCGTTGTATTTACCTTGTAGTGGAAGTTGCACTGATCTACATCCAGACTGAAGTTGAGAAACAGTTGAAATCACTTACTCTTATTTCATCCTTCAAGTTTTGGCTAGTAATGACTCAGCATCCTTGGTAAAATCTACTGTCAACATAATAGAACGCTGTACAGCATCCTATAGAAGCACTGTCAATGATCTAAAATGGCTTACATATAGCTTTCTACGTGTTAATCAACTTACTCGTACGAAACAAATCATGCAGTGACAAATGGTGGGCTATGGCTTACGTGGGTACAGTAAAACAAATCTGCCTGAAAATAACCAACATTAATGTGCATTCAGTAGAATTCACATCTGGTGTTACTTACAATAAAATTGCTGACAAAATCATATAAATAAATCACTCACTTAGAACTAATACCAAATTTGGATATAAATCAAGAACAAGATACGATGCCGCACACAACAAAGTTTTATGGAGGAACTGAATTCAAGCTTTATTTTCTACTAAATATTTAAAATCCATTCAACACATACTTGGGTTTTCTTGTTGGTGAGAAGACAATATTTCTATATTTCTTAATGTGCTACATTGAATGACTAGCTAGAAGACTGTACTCACAAACAAATGTCAGAAAGGACAGCAAACACGTAATTTCACCTTAAATCAAATTCATGTGATGTAAATAATACTTATCCATGCCTGTACAACTGGTGTGTCCTACATAAATAGGATTATATATACTATACTTAAAAAGAAAAGATGCCCAATTTCAAACATTTTTACAATCTGTCACTATCTGCATAAGCGTTAATTTAAAACAGCTAATTGAACCGGCGTTCCAAAGGAGTTCATGTCAAAGTAGGGCTGATGTCGGTTATCTAAAAGATCGCGTGCTTTAGCCTATCAGATGTCGTAGGTAACTGAAAAGTTCACAGGGACCGGACGAATAGCCGAGTAGAAACTATATCGTCTTTATGATTTGTGAGGATCTATTTACCTATCGAATGATGAGCGCCCTTCCGTTTGTTTGTCCAGGCATTCCTCCGCTTCACTTGCCCTGTCGTGCTTTTAGAAATTAAGGTTCATGGGCAACTTCGGCATTGGACTATATCACAGGTTGTCTGTCAGTAGTTTGGGCATTTATGATATGAATTCGGTTTCTGAACAGGTGTGTTAGGTGCATTTTCATCTGGACTTTGCATTCGCTTGTATCAAACACTCCGATAAACTTGGATTTCTGAAGAATGCCCAATGGATTTGGCTTACTTCACCGTGGAGGAACATTTCGGGGTGATTTAACGGATTATTTACCCAGCAATATTAAATGCCGTCGCTCTAGTCACAGTTCATCCGAAGAATATATCTTCATGGCTGGAGAGAGGCAGGCGACATATTTAGTAAGCGAAGAGGAAAGCCTATTCTATGTGGCGAATGTCCAAGAGTCAGGCACACCTCGATGCATACCTGGAACTCAGTAACCTATGCAACACAATAGTCGATAGTGACACGAGGCTATTTCAAGGAAACCTTACCAGAAAAATCCTGGTGAATGCCAAAATCTTGAGCCGATTTACGTAGTAGAGAAAACCTGCCAACCAGGGACATGCGCCCTAATAGGCCAAAACGGTCAATATCTCACTAGTTTGTAAATGGCTGAAACATTCAGTGCGGCCTTCGACAAACGGTCAAACATGTGGGTATTAACGTTATAATCAAAGGAGGCGGCACTGCTACTTTAGCGAAGGTCAACCTATTGGCTCCTCTTCAGATATACTCGGCAGTGGCACTAATGAATTTACAGAGACTGACATTAGTAAAGGTTACAGGTTGTGATGATATCAGGTCATCTGTTCAGAAACAGGGCGCTGAAGCTCTCTGTAGGCCCTTATGCGACGCGTTCCAACAGTTAATGGATTCAAGGAAACTGCCAAGAGAGTAAGAAGGAGCCATGCTACCAGCTCAAGACCAGTAACACTACTTCCAGCGGAATCAAAGGTACTGGAGTCTAATTGATGATGACACCAGGGAGCTCATTTACAGGACTGATAAACTGCACGAAGAGCAACATGGTCGTGTGTAACAGACCTACTATCAGCTCGGAATGATCGCGCATCATGCTGTGATATGTATATTCCAGTCCACGTGATATTCCTACACTTTGTGAAGGCATTCAACACAGTTCACCACGACCTTCTACACAAAAGTCGGACAGGCATAGGTGAGCCGCTTCTGTCATGGTTGCAAGACTATCTTGATGTAAGTAAATTCTGCACTAAGGTCAGTCGTGTCCGATCATCCTAGCACAGCTGGTCATCAGGACTATAGCAAGGTTCTGTGCCAAGGCTACTGTAGCTTTTGATTTTTATCAGTGATCTACCATTCCGTCTTAGCTGCCTGGCTCTTTTTTCAGCTGACAGTATGAAGTCTGGGAGGGCAATAAAGTGCCCAGAAGACTCAGATATGCTGCAGGCAGACGTAAAACTTCTGGGCGGCGGACAGTGATATAGCTTTCAACCTGAGAAGTGCAAAGTGGTGTATCTGCGCACTCGTAGGCTTCAGAATTTAATTTTTAATGATTCACCTTAGCACCTTAACTTTTCTAATACAGCTTACTATCCCTTGTAAACGTTGTACTTACCTCAAAATTGGTTGGTTATCGTATGCCTACAACGGGTTGAAAACGAGACGAAGTCGATTTTCCTGCGCAACCTGGAGGACTGCTGTTTAATTCAGTCATGATACGACATGGGTCAGACAAAGAGTATATATATATATCAAATATTTAGCTGTTCAAACATTATTAACTTGTAGACAATCTACTATTTGTCATTATATCATACTTGATCGTGCCTGTAAAAATGGCATGCATTTTCATGTAAATTTATGTTTTTATGAAAATATAAATTATTATTATTAAGAACACAATATTCAGCGAAGAGACTCTTTTCAACGAATTTATTATCAAGCTGTACAATCGTATATATATGGTTTTTTAAAAAATTTATATCCGGATATAAATTTTTAAAAAGAACCATATATATACGATTGTACAGCTTGATAATAAATTCGTTGAAAAGAGTCTCTTCGCTGAATATTGTGTTCTTAATGCTACAATGGGAATTATTAAATTATTATTATTAAGTCGCACCCTATGCAAGAGAACTTGTCTTGCACAAAGTTGGAGTTTGACTTGGGTTTAGTTCTACAGGAAATAATGGACGCAGGCATGAATTACACTAGCGATGTGGCGAGCGAACATGCATTCATACATTCTACACATAAACAGTAAAGTGTACCCACTCTTGAGATCTTTCAGAGGTTGTATAAAACATACGTGAGATCACACCTTGAAGTGCACAATATCGTTTCTACCCTCTGCTCAGAAGAGACGCTAACCTCCTGGAAAGAGTTCAAATATGGGCGACAAAGGAGTAGTGGGTCTCCGGAACAAGCCACATGACGAAAGGCTGAAGAAATGAGGTCTTTTCACACTTAGCTACCGTCGGCTTACATTACAAATGACCAGAGTCACCAAAAGGTATTCTACCATTAGGTACCTATGGACTCAAGGGAATCCTCGAAGTATACCTTACCAGAGGTCAAAGACTCAACCTCTTTTTTCACTTATAGTTTGCAGCTCCTGCAACTCTCTACCGGCAGATGTGACTACTGCACCATCCGCGAAAAGCTTCAAGTGGATGCCGCACAACCATTCAGCAACACAATGACTGCGTCCAAACGGCCTATCCGTCTAAAAGTATTATACTACTAATGGGTAGACATTTAAAACCCACTGTTTTACTTCTTCACATTCTCTCCTGTCCTACTCTGCCGATTACCCGAACTGTTACGCCCCTTAACCCATTATTATTATTGATATATATATATATGTGTACAGATATGTGCCCTAAATATATGTATATTACATTAGCTGTCCGTTTTTCTTTTTCTCCTTTTAAGCCTCATAACCTACACTAACTATATTTACTCAGAAGTTTTCTAAAGATCAGGAACCTTTACCTCACAATTAAGAAGCGAGCACAAAGAAATCAAATTTGTTAACACTAGGTAGTAAAAACCATATTGGATATTGGAGTTCTCGTTCTCACTGCTACACCGCAAATGTGTGACCATCCTGCCAACCTTTGCTCTGATGTCTGTTCCAGACCTTTACTTAACGGCTGGTACTACTTTACTCTCGTACCATGAATATTGGATATTGGAATATAAGGTTACCGGGGGGAATTTTGAATGCTCAAGGTTGTTCTTACACTTACACTGCTTTCATATATCCTTGTCTGTTTAGATTCTTAAGCTGAATTCGATGTCTTTCAAACCTGTTTTAAATATATAGCTTTCAAAAATCGTTAAGTAATAATGTCTGTAACATATGTCACACCAGTTTTTGACGTGTTACGTTAGACGCCATATTGAGGTGTATATACGTATATAACACATACGTACGTATTGCTTATAATATACAGCTACAGTTTCACATATCGAACAGTACGCATTGAGTGAAGCAAAATTATTTTTGACTAATTAGGCAGTCTATTTCAACTTTTATTGCTATTGTTATATCGATTTCATATGTATATTTAAGAATTTTCTTTTTTCAGATTTATTATTATGAAGCGTTTAGAGAGTTGGAAAAAGCCACATGAAACCCCTACAGAATGGCGTGTAAGACGGATGTTTTTAGAGAAGAATTTCGATAGAAGGCAACCTGAACGTTTGGAATGTCTCTCAAATTGTTTTACCAATGTAAAGTTGTATGGAGTTTCCTATCCATTAAAAGTTATGGAGGAGGTAATGATGTAAAATTTTATTTAAAATTGTTTTATCAGATCGAAGTCCTGGGTGAAGGGATCGTAGAAGAAGCCACTACATTTCATCAAAATAAGAAGCGAAGAATGTAATAAGCTGTAAATAAGTGCTACTATATTTTTTTTTTACCAGAATGCAAGTGACTGTGTTCTTTCTTCCTGACCAGTCATATATAGTGAATTTAGAAGAAAATACAATATATTAAATTTGCGTTTGGAAGCATTTTTGAAGTGAATTATTTTCTCACGCTCATATTAGTGTACTTCGTAGAATACTAGCGGTGTGCAAGATAATAGATGGTGTATTAGCGGTGTAATCTTCCTTGCAGAGAAGAGTGTCAAGTGATTTTGCCTACTCTCAGCTTAAGAATAAATGCTTCCGTTTTTATCTATCAGACTAGTGTGAAGCATCAGTTCGCATTATCTTGGTTTTCAACCGAGACCCTCTTCACCTTCCCTGTAGTATCACAAACCATCATATTAAGTCTAGTGGCATGTGTTTATTCTGTTGATGGTATCAAAGTTGTATCTAGCTATGCAAATTTACACTGTAATGATAAACTGTCGCAATTAATAGTTTGTACATCGTTTTATGTGGGATTTCATTCATGAAAGCTTCGCAGTTTAAGTGCAGGGTATAGCACCACATATCATACTATATGTATGAAAATCACTGAATGATAGCAATCATTACTATCTGACAACATGGCTGTGGTCATTCGTAATTAGTATTTCCCATATGGTACGCAAGCCTGAATTCAAGCAGAGCATATTTCAAATAGCTTTCGCTTTCTTGGGTCATATAGGACTTGGTCTTACCATAATATTTTTGTGTTCTAAGTCCATTTTGCAGTTCTGTATTTATAAGCAAACGTAAGTATTTTGTTTACACTTGTCTGCTGTTCAGTTATCGAACCAAGCTAGATACCAGTTCTTTGAAAGTTCAGGCAAACGTTACTGCTACATGACCCTATGATGGTGGCAAGTATGATCATTTGTTGTTTAGAATACTAAATGCATATGTCAGCTTGATGCCCATCGATCAATTGCAGCAGACGGCAAGAAAAGGCAAGTTAATTTCTTTGATTTTATCTTTGTCATCGCCGGCATTCCGGAGGAAGAAGTAGAGATGCGAATCAGTTATGTGAAAAGACACTGATTTTGTTGATATTAGATTTAAAGTTTTAGGCTGGTAAAGGTTGGTCAGTCAATAGGATGGTGAACAGTAACTGACTAAAAAGACCGCCATTACTGGTGAACACGGTTAGTAAAAGATTGGGAAAGTTAACACTGTGGTCAGGCCAAAGTCTGGCATTAATGTATGAAGTTATAAATTGTTAATGAATGTCACAGGTGTGGACTAGCTGGAATGCATATTAAAAGTTGGTTGTTGAAGACTCAAAATTATTCACAGTGGCGCAAGTTGTACACCGATAATCTTCGAAATTTAGAATATTTTCACCATTCTTCATTCAGTTATTTTCCTTTATCACATTTACGTGCCTGTACCTATATTTAGATGTAGGCCATTGGGATAAGTTTATAAGTTATCGTTCTTCGGATTCAGTTGTTTGGCGCAGATTTTTCATCTACTATTAGCAACGCTTATAGTGCGAAAACTGGTGATGCTACTCATTTGGCCAGGGTGGAGTAGTTGCCTAATAATCCGAGTGATATAGTCAATGAACCATATCACCGTTATTGATAGGTTCTTGCATCGATGTCCCTTATTATTTAGTTTGATTTAATATTGTGTTTGTTGCTGATCCACTTCAGAAACTTGGGTACTGACTTTTTACTAAAGAAGGGTATCGTTGAATATGCAGTCCTTCCAGGCGAAGATTCTGAATAAATGTGGAGTCTTCTGAACGCCTTGAGCAACAATGTTTGATATGCGATTTGTCCGCGTCAAAGCAAAATCATACTGCAGGACTTGTCTGCACCAATTCCTGGTTTAAGGATAGCGAGCGTAATGGTTGGGTTTACTAACTACTTATTTGGCATGTTGATAGACTGATTGCTGACAAAATCTCATCTCGGACACAAAAAGCTGATGAGTCATTTGCCAAACTGCGTCATCTCTGGCATGCACGTGATACCAAATTATCGGTGAAAGGATGCGTGTACAGCACTGCAGTTCGCTCCATGCCCCTTCACGGCTATGAAACTTATCACTTGAAAGTGAAAGACAAAGAGGTTATCCGTCTTTGACCACACGTGCTTGCGTTCTACCTTTCGCGTTAGATGACATGAAATCTTCAGGCGTAGTTCTCCTCGATAGAAGTGACTATATTAACGACATGAATGATATATTAAAAGAAATACAGATGTTCCGAAAACTTGAGAAGAAAGATTTCAACAACAGAATAGAGAGCGAAATAACCAGACGTTTTGAGAACCTAAGGGAAGAACATATATTTCTTGAAAGTTTAGATTTAGACCAACGGACACATACACGCCAAGATCATAAGGCCTACCCAAAGTACATAAACCGTGGGTACCGTTAAGACCAATGCTTGATATGCAAAATTGGCCCTACCATGCCCTAGGCAAATGGTTAGCGGTTAGATAGTGAAACATAGCGTCAAAGATGTATTTGAATTAGTAGACAGACAAAGATATTAATATCAGGGATAAAACTATGATATCTTCGGACATAACATCTTTATTCACAAATGTACCTATAGTATTAACGCCTAACTACATATGTGAACAAGTGTACTACAAGTCGATAAATGTTGTCATCCCAGCGCAAATCTTAAAAGAACTGTTATTAAGGTGTACCATGAATGTAAGTTTGACGGCACACTTAACAGAAAAATGGACGGAGTGCCATTGGACCCACCCCATTGGGTCTCATGTTTGAAAATTTCTTTATAAGCAAACTAGAAAATGGTCCTTTGAACAACCTCATCAGAAAATTCGCATTTTATTGCCGATGTATGGATGATACCTTCACTCTTTGTGAAAATGATTTGGACAGGAACGCAATAATAACTCAGTTCTATGAAGTACATTCAACTATCAAATTCACGTGTGAACAGGAATCCCGAAATAGAATCGCTTTCCTAGACTTCCTTCTTACAAGAAAACCAGATGGTAGTATAAATAATAACAACAATATCCTTATTATGCACAATAAGTTAACACAATATACACAATTTTCAGTGTAGTTTATTGCATAATATTTACTCTTCATCTAGGAGTTTCAAGTAAAACAGCCATTCCCAGTACATCATATGATGTAGTCATGATAGATTTGAAGGAAAAAATAATCCACTACGGTATTTTCTCTTCGGCCCCACAGCAATGCTCAACAATAGGCTGCAAACCAATTAAAAATGTACACAAATACATTTGGAGACCCATGGATATAGTTGAATGATTATAACAACAAGAACTAAAGGGAATGAGATGTATGGCCTCCGATGGAAATCCAGGTAGCCCAAAGACCCAAGCAAGCCATCAATTTACATCAGAAAAGTACATGGACAGTATAATACACAAATTTCCATAGCTTTGTTCTTCTCCAGTACAAGAGAAACTTAATAAGATCCCTCAGCTATAAGGTCAGAGCTATATGCTCAGAAGACATAATTGAAGATGATCCCAGGATCGCACATGACACCCTGATTGAAAATAGCTATCCAGAAATACATGATCAAGAAAGCAGAAAAGGACTATTCTCAATTTGTAAGCAAGACGCCTTTATATATACGATTGCAGTTCAAGGGTGACGCAACTAGTGAAATAATTACTAACAAATTAAGAAAACGTGTTCAAAGATTTTCGATGCTGGTAAACTACAAGTCATGTTTTCTACACGACCGGTTATGATTGCCTAGACTAGCCACCTCTAATTGTTTCTACCAATTCAACCAACTGCATTTGTGGAGAGAGTTATATTGGCTGTTGTTCTAGGAATCTGATTTTTCGTGCTCGGGAACACCTATTGATGTGGCTTAATAAAGGTATTATGAAAAACATCAACAGTTCGATATTAGGCCACCTGGTCCAAACCGGCCACAAAGCTAACATTGAAGAATCTTCCTCTATCATCTATCAGGTACCGATTAAATTGCTGAAAGCATCCAGGTACCGCATATTCCAAACAGCAGAGGCTATTGCGATCCACATAAAACAACCGGTGCTTTTTGTGATGAAGAAACAGGTCCAACCATTACTACTAACTTGGTCTTCTATGGAGCCTATAAATTCATGGATTCTGTATTATTATTTTCCCTAAATTGTCTGATATTTAGTGTAGTGTTATGTTGATGCATATTATCACACTTACAGATGCTATTGAACTATTATCTATTGATATTACTGATTCGATTTTATTTAAACATTAATGTTGTTAATAAACCTAATTATTTCATTATTACGGATGTATAACTGTAGAACCTGATGATGTTATTGAAAAGAATATTCTTTGTTCAGCAATCAGTCTTTTGAAATAATATTAAAGTCAGGTGTAGAGTGTCAGGTAGAGAGGCAAATGCAGTTGATGAGGTTGTGAGTCTGTATCGATTGAGATGGCTAGGACACGTGTTGTGTATGCCAAACCATCGCATTCTTCGTTGATCAACGTTAACTGACAGCATTAGGTTGGAATGGAGTAACGTTTCTTAAAATTCAATATAGCACCAATCCATGGAGACTTCGACTTTTGGTTTGAGCCAAGTAGGGAGGCGTAGACTGCCTATTTTAAGTCCTTGAAGTGCTAAAAACCAATGGCTGGAGACCGTTGATGATATGGATGGGTCGCATTCACTCCTTGTGATCCGCCAGACCAATTGAACTCTTTCCACATATAATTATATTTTCTACCATACATTCTCATTTATTATGTATGCTTAGGGCTTCAGTTCCACAACTCCATCGTGCACTACTTTCTACAAATACATTCAACTGCCTTCACAACCGCTCATCTCCTCCATGTCACCCCAGGGTCCATGCCCAATTAGTTTCCTATTTGGGTCCCATTTGAGAGCCTGGTGCGTGATGTCGCTCAACAGTCTTTTCAGCGTATATCCTTCGGAATATTTGTTGGGAAATAGGTTATTGGCTGGTGTGATGCCAGAGTTCCTTTCTGCTTACCCTTTCTAGCCATCTGATCTTCAGTACTAAACCAGCGAATGCAGGTGTCGATGAAAGTCTGCAGCAGGTTTTTGATGATACGCCATTTCTCTTTTATCGGGAGCCCATGTATCTAAATAACGCCTAATGTCTTTCCTAGCACTCTCAACTCTTTTGTCCAATGCGTTGTGGGTTATACTCGGATTCTCTGCACTTCTTAATCTTCTGCTTCACCATCCTTTTCTCCTCAGATACCTATTTCTCGTCTTATCGCTTCTTCTTGCCCAAGATGTCTCTACATGTTTTCTTCTGCGTCGTATTCACACACTTCCGGTGTTTTTCCATGTCAGTTTCCTCACTTAGTGTCTCGTACTTCCCCCGATGAGTGCTATGGGTGTCTTTTGCAATTTCTTCCCTCTGTTTGAGTGTTGAACTTGAAGTGTAGTCTGATTCATGCTTACTTTTGCTTTGACCTAAAGAAGACTTCCTGAGGGCTTTTACAAGTTGCACCATCCGTCCTCACAAATCCAGCAAAGAGTAAGTTCTTTCTTCTGTGCTTTGAAGTTTCAGCAGCGGTGACACTTTTTTAAGGGGTAGGATTGCTGGTCGCATGTTTAGCTTCCCTTAAATATTGGACTTAGGAGCGACTAGTAATCTAAAGAGGTCTAATGATTTCATAAGTAAAATTAATACATATTTATATTTTGCTGCTGTTAATCTTAACTGGAGCCAGCTGAAAATGTTCTTCTGTACTTAATTATTTTACGAACTCGTCACATATTATTGACATCTATTTTCCCACTATCTTTATTGTAGTGATGAACTATGCCGAGAAAAACTGAGGGTGGGTTGGCTTTACATTATTTGAAAACTGGTACATAAATTTCTTTTGATTCCTGATAAACAGTAAATTACCTAACAGGAAGAGGCTTCAAGTATGCACACATATCGTGTGATAATGCAATAGGCATTTGGAGAATCTTTTTAGTAAGAACTTTTGGTATTATCCGAGTGTATGCTTAAATTTCAGCTGAGGTACTATTTAGTATTACTCTACATAAATTTAAAACAAGAAATAGAAACTAACAGAAAATGATTTCGACGTGTAGCGAAAAGACAACAGATCTACAAAAAATTGTACAGAAAGCCATCATGGATGGAACGAAACTCAAACTTAAAGAGTTTCACACCCACTTAGTATAAAATGACGGGACGAAAACGTGTCAAAGTCTTGCGGCGAAATCATTATATTTGCAGCACTATCAAGTGTGAGTGTAACAGTGATACATCAAAATGCTTTCACAAATTCGAATATTTGTTTCTGAAAATATTGGTCGTATGAAAATGCACTAACCTGAGTGGTTTGGGCATGTTAGAGCGACGGTATTTAACAGTTGTACAATTGCTGCAGATGTTACTGACATCATCAATACATCCTGAAATAGGATTAAGTCTGAAAATTTTTTTTCCTTCACGTTCCGCAGTGGAACATAGGGCTTCAAGCTTGTGCCTTGAAGTTTCTGTAGCAGTGCTTATTTTACAGGATGGGGTTGTTAGCCTCATGCCCAACCTTTTCCTCTTCACCAGAATTATTTCTGGACTAGCGAGGTAAAAGAGTGCATCGGCCGGGGATCGAACCCCGGACCATGTGCATGGTCGGCGAGCGTCCTAACCGCTATGCTACCGACGCACCTGAAAACAGTTAGCGGTGTTCAACCCAAAACATAACAACAATCCCTGAAGTAATTTCCAAATTCCTATTTACGCATTTAGAAAAAAAAAAATTAAGTGAAGAAATATGTTCCTTTTCAATTAGTTCCTCATCATCGGCTCTACACTAATATATAGTTTTTTACATCAAAGTTTTTTACCAATCAAGTGGTTATTTTAGTTAATCAGTTTTAGGTATAGGCAAGGGTTAAATCAAGAGGTCATCAAAACAAATAACTAATAGCTGTTAGTAACAAGATATCTAAGTTTTGAAGGTGGGGTGAAACTAATTATGGGATTCAAGATAAATTGATTCTTAGGCGCTAACAACAAGTTATCACATAATCAAGAGGTTTTTAAGGTACTGATGACTAAGAAGAATAGGATAACTCAGAAGAATCACGTAAAATACAGACAAGTTAATAGAATTAGCTAGAATTGTAAAAATTAACAAAATCAAAAGATAGTACAAGGGGAGGGAAAAATCGTTTTTAAAAATTTAATACGTATTATGTAGTTGGTCATGGCAAAGAAAAGGGGTGTACAAATTTCTTTTGAAAACACAGATTTGGCTTGTTCAGATAAATTCCGACTGCCTCTTCTGTATGTAAAAGTCTTACTCGTAGACCATGTGACAGGTTGATTGAAATACGATAAATAACTTTAAAAGCTTAGAGTCAATTTGATGTCCAGTATCGACGAGATAAGTTAGTATTGAGCTGCGTATAGCTTTATTCGGACCTTTGCCAAACCAAGACGGGAGGTGTTCAGAAATTCGACGATGAACTTGCCTGATCGTACGCCCTATGCAAATAGCTCCGCACGGGCAGTTAAACTGGTAAATACACATGGAAGAGGCAAACCATAGCAGTCTGTTTTTATTTCTTGAACTAAGTACTGGTCGGCTAGTGAATACACATCATAGCTTAGCTGCATATATTAGTGTAGAGCCGATGATGAGGAACTAATTGAAAAGGAATATATTTCTTCGCTCAATGTGTTGGTTTTTCTAAATCCCTGAAGTGTTTGATAATCGGTTTGAGCAAATCATATCGCGAGGTGTAGACTGTTTGGTTTAGATCCTCGGGATGCTAAGATCCCATAACTGGAGACTATTAATGATATAGAGTGAATGTATGAGTCATTTCAAGCTATGTGATCTCCTATATCCATTAAGCTCTCGTGTTTCTGCATGTAAATATTCTTTTTCCTGTAAATTTCTGCTCATCATAGTTCCTTTGATTCTTTTTTCTCCACCTTTGTGTGACATACGAAATGCGGCAACTTGGACTGTTGCACTTCTGTGCAAAGTTCTATGTTGGAACTCTCAGTCCATTAGTATATGATAAAACAAGAATGTGTTTGCGTCTTCTATGATCCGAATGAGGAAAACAGATTTTGTGTGCAGGGAAGAAACTTTAGTTACTCTAAAAATGTCATGCGAGAATTTACAATGCAAAATTGATGTTTCTTTTTGGCTTTTTATATTCTACTACACTTTAGATTTAATTATTTTTATTCGTTTGAACTGGCTTTTTAGAGTGGCACAATTTATTAGTTTTAATCTATCACAAAACCTTTTGTCTGACTGATAACACAAGACACTAAAGTGTCTTGATTTAACTTTCAAATCCCATACTTTTTCGTGCAGTTTTATATAGTTTTGTACTTACTTCTAGATCTGCATCACCATATATATGATCAAGTATGCAGAGTATTCAACTAAGGATTTCTATTATGTCGGTATTATTCAACCTTATTTATTTATTTTTCTGTGCATCATTCCAAATATAGGGGATATTGATGAGGATATCAAAGCTAGGCAGGATTGGAAAAGCACGACAGATCTTCGTTAATCTGAAGGCTTACTTCACTGGACATAAAGAACAAGATTTAGACTTCCAACACTATTGTCAAGTCACTTTTTCCATATGGTTCAGATACCTGGAGTGTCGCCGAAAGCATTTCTAACAGGCTTCACACTTTTATCAACTGCTGCCTTAGCTCTATACTGAAGACCAGAAAGGAATAGCAACAAGGAACTTTGTCAGTCAATGGACCAACTAAGAACCTTCTACTCAATAAATATATAGAATGAAATAAGGATAGATCAAACATATATGGAAGAGACTGTTAAGTGATATCATGCACCAAGCCAGCCCTCGAGTGGAACCCGAATGGAAAAACGACAAGTTAAGCATGGGACCGAGGGTGACATGGAGGAGGAAAAAGCCAATAGGCAAACGTGAAATAGCGATGTGTTGTTTAAGCTTTACGTCCTGCTCGTAACCTAAGGAAATAAGTAGTAATTTACTATCAACTTATTGGTTATTGAGTGTTAAAACATTCAAATCGCTGATGCATTGACTAGCTCCAGTTTGACACTAGTGCCGAAATTGCATAGAAATTTATGAAAAAGACAAAAGAATTCGTTCGTTCAATTCTGAATATAAAAAGTTTTTATTTTTCTATCATAAACTCTTGTTCTCTGCTTTCCTCTTTTGAAAGAAATGAACAAAAATTATTAACAACAGAAACGAATGTAGGTAATGGACAAGGAATAAAAAGTGTGCAGAGAGGGAAAAAGAAGCTGAAAAAACCCAACAATTCAGTATAATGAAAAAATAGGTATAAAAGGTTGAGCATAGAAAGGAATGATAAGATAAAGATGAATATATATATATATATATATATATATATAAATCTCAGTAGGATAAAAGATCTAAAAAAAGAAGAATAAATCTCTCGTTAATAAAAAATAGTTTATCTTGTGTGTCTACACACACGCTCTTCGTATCTGAGTCTTAAGCTTAAAATTTCGCTTCATTTAGGCATCTCGGAATCCAGTGTACACACAGTGGTAGTAACATTCGTACACTCGGAGTTTGGCAAAATATCTTCATTATGAATACTGTTAGAGTTATTGTTATTGTCAACATGAGTTGGGTTGTTTGACTTCTCCAGAATATAAGTCCATGGAGCTATAGCGGACGACTCTTCAAATATTTTCTTATAATTAACAGAATTGGATGACGAGTCAACAGAAGTAGAGTGATTTGTTGTAGTGACTTCACATAACTAAAAGGAAATAGTTTTAAGAATGAACGTATGTTAGCTGTTAATACATATTACACATGAAAGCAGACTAACGAGGTCAATAGTTCTCCTTTATGCCTCATTAGAGTCCTTGCACACATACAATATGGTTTAAATATATAAGGGAAAAAACACAGTCTTAAGATATTTGGACAACTGAATGCAAATAATGCTCTGCCTACACCTGCCTACCCCAGAAGTGAAAAAATTATACGTATAACAACGTCTACTACTTTAAGTTCTGGGAAATAGTCGTATCAGTTTTGATGGATTAGTGAATGATAAGCATTTTTAACTCAAAGGATATTTGGCATAGACGAGATATTTCAATGTCCGAGCGAAACTTTAGTAGCGCCTTGTCTGACTTACAGCCGTTGAGTTGGCCCTAAAATTATTCAGTGTTAGGCGTAAAATGTTGGTTACGGGGAGGTAAACTGTGCATTTGTGGGTTTTGCATTCCCACTTTGGTTGAAGAGTTACACGTACGAAATCCCTCATTTACTCCGATTCACCATGTTAAGTTGAATAACATAGAAGTAGTTACAGGTTGGTTAGTTTAAGGCATTGTAACTATATGCAGATAAGAAAAAAATTGGGTTGATTAGTATCTACGCACTGTCTAAACCGACTTATACGCGTCTACCTACTTTTCACAGAAATGCTTGTGACACCCTCTATAGATGATTCAGATCTCGTGGTTTGGATTTCACAAAAAATGGTGATTTCATCCGAATGAGCTAAACTACTACAATAGAGCACTTGTTAAGATGTTTGATAGAGTAGAGGAACCGCAACACGAACAAAAATGGTTAGCAACGCAAACAAGAGATTAGCCATCGATCTTCGACAAACCAGATTGTGTACAGAAACTTGTGTATTTTTGGGAAACAGATAAATTAAGCGTACGGAAAGCCATGTGTTGGTTCGTGTTGCTGGCTATGAAGTCCCCAAAAGCCTAATCACATATCATTTAGTGGAACATGATTATATGATTGTTGTAAATAATAGTCTTGTGGTCATTGATAGGTGAAATAGAAAACAAGCGTTGAAGTTTGATGAAGCCTGTGCTACTCTACCAGAAAGCCGGAAACTTGTGTGAACAGATAGAAACAACAACTAGTCCCTTGGTGGTATACTGTTTACGAGCCCATCATTCACTCTTGTTCTAATTATTACTTGGGTGTGCTGCTCCGTATCATTTTTTGTGTCAAAAATTTAAGTTGTATTAAATTCTTGTTTATGGATATTTAAGAAAAGTATTTCTTTAATTTCTTAAAATAAACATTTTATAAGGATGTCACTATATTACTATTGGATTCAGATATTTCAGATTGATGAGAATTCTCTTTTAATGTCAGCATTTTTGAAGTGTAGATGGTCATAATTTTTCATCACTTCTACCACAACAACTCGAATCTATGCGTTAATAAAATTTTATCACGCTAACTTCTTATCCATGATACACTTGTTTGTATGTGATAGGAATAATTATGTTTGTTGAGTATTCATGAACTCAAAAAATACACCTTTCAGATAGCTGTAGCTCGTTTTAGAACCCTATTGTAATACAACATACAATATAAAAGCACTAGGAATTTAAACTTTTTAATAACCTCTCTTCTTTTACGTTCTGACTAAAAAATAGGGCTTCTACCGTAAGCCTTAAAGTAGCACTGATATTACTGGTTTTTACGGGATGGGGTTGCCACTAGCCTCACGCCAGATGTTCCTTCTTTCTCAGGCTTATATACTGTCAGCTAAGGGAAACTTACGGGTGCTTGTCGAGCGGGGATAGAACCCGGACCAACTATGTCCATGATCAGAGAGCATTCTGCCGCTGAACTACCACCACCACCGAAACACATAAATATTGTAAATTTTCATTTTACTTTAATAAAGTTATTCCGCATTCATTAATGACACAACAGTAAAGAAAAAAATCTTTTCTTTTTACTTTTATTTTCTCGGGAAACAGAAATAAATATTGCTTGATAGAATGACTAGATTTTGCTGATAACCATATTAAGCCTCAATTCGATATGGACATTTACCTACACTATCTATCTTGTTGTAGTTGTTGTTTGTTCGAGCTGCTTTATCGGGGACAGATTTTTCATATACTAGTGACTAAGAGCCATACTTATAGTATGGGGATAGATGATACTACTCAGTTGTGTCTCCAGGCTAAAGTAGGCAGGGCAGAACTCGAACTCCACGACCCATTTGCTGAAAACCGATAAAATAAAAAACTTAACCTGACAAATTTCACTTTACAACCCATGCAAGTACATACATTAAAACTCAACTTACTCCAAATTCTTCAAATAATTCGGACTGTGGTATATCTGTAACAGATTTCCATGATGATGTTATTATTCTATCCTTGTTTAAATGATTGATAACCGCTACACTATCTAAAGGATTTAGTACAAAGCCAAAGTATTCATCATGTAACGCTTTCAATTTTTCTTCAATGTAATAATCATCCAGCTGAGTTGTTTCATAATTTATAACAGATAAACGTCTAGCTGCTGTCATTTGTAGTAGTTCATAAAAATTATATTTACTATTATTACCATTATCATCATCATCATTATCAGTGTTTTCATGATAATCAGTGGAATTTTCTCTTGATATCCGTGCTGATGACGTTGACAGGGATTGTGAATACTTTATACTGCCTTCAGGTGGTGTGATGATCGACACATTTAGATCTTGTAAACCCATAGAATTAGGACAGTAATGATGATAATAATAAGATGGATGATCTATTTCATCCCCAACGGGTTGATTGGTATTATCATTGTTGCTACTTGCTGTATACAGAGCATTCAAAAATATCTGTGTAATCAATGAATTGTCTATTCTTACAGTATCATCACAATTATTATTCCGTAATAGTATTGAGTAAACAACCGGCAGTGTGGCGTTCAATGCTTCTTCAATGATAGTTTTGTTTACATAGAAATAACAATCTGTTTCTTGGTAATTGCAACATTCGATAACTTCATTTGAAGACAAATATCTTAGAAGGGAAAAAAGTTATAGTGAACATTTTAAACATACTACAGACAACGAAGGAGAGACAAATTATAAAACATACATATGTTTCTATAGAAATGATACTAACTACTTTTTAAAATGTACACCATTAGAAAAAACAATCTGAAGGGAATGGAGATGAACCGGACACACGTCGAGAAAACCGTTTGATGATCCCACGTGCCCTCCAGGCCTTTATGCAGAAACTCAACAGGAAACGATGAGTTGGGCGTAAGAGAGTGACATGGAAATTCTGCGAGTACTAGTCGGCAATCGAGACGCAAGCTAGAGAGAAAAGTGTGAAATTAATGTGTGCTGCTGAATCGCTACATTCTACTCGGAATCCAAGGGAATGATAATTATAATATTATTAATAAGAAGAGTAATAATTGATCAATGAGGAGTAATGGTGACTTAATAATCACTAATCCCTTTTTAATCTTTAATTGTAACCCAGTAGAAAGATGTACCGCTACCAGCCTAAAACTAGTTAACTGTTAAAAGGAATAAAAAAATAAATAAAAACAGCTCATATGGTAATTACTGCATGGTAATGCATTGTCAAAGTAAATTGAAAGTGTGCATCACGTCAAGTGATCTACCGGTATTAGTAAGCTACAAGACCTATATGCGCTAAAAATGCCATCACGTCATGGGTAATTCCAAGGTGTCATATGAATGAGTGGCAGGTGTAACTGTATTCTCAAAGTTGAATAATGAAAGCAATATTCATAATACATTCAAGTATAATTTTGGCCAGGGTAGCATGAGGGTTTTTGGCGCGTGGGAGGGGTGGCCAACAGTTAATTGCGATATATCTCCAGTCAATACGTTGATTGATCGCAAAATCTCTCGATGGAATCCATTCAAAATTGGTTACTTCCTTCTATTCATTTGTTGCTGATCTCCATCCTTGAGTAGTGACACTGCTAAAAAGTTATATCAATGTTTTCGGACTTTTATAAACTGATATTATACGATATCCTACTGTCATTCACTTATACATTAGTGGAAAATTTCATACGAAGTAGACTGTTGTGTAATCGTTGTGCGAAAGTTTTAACTAATAATAATCAAAATCATAATAAACGAAGCAATCACAAGTGATTGTAACAAGACTGAATTAGGATAGACATAAAAATAAACCAATTAGATTTGTAAATATTTGTTTAGGTGAATTTTCTTTTTCTTGTTGATTGATTAGACCGAAACGTTCGGCTTTTGTTGATATCTCCACTCATAGAACGGACGCCTCGATGATGTCTCAAGAAAGACACGGTGTTGTTTGATGGATAATGACCAGCAGAGGAATTCAGGATGCGGTTTGGCATTCAAAACTATGGATGTGGGAACAGCATCAATTATTGGGGATTGCAGGCACATCCGGCTGACAAGTCCTGGGCAGGACGAAGTGGACATACGGGATTCCACTGCTAGCCGCTATCCTATAGACAGATTGGTGAATGTTTACTTCGATTCTATAATTATCTCTCTATAAGTAACAATAAGCCCAAAATATCATATCACACTATAACTCAGTCATGTACTGTATTAAGTATGTGTATGTGTGATGTATTGTGTCAATATTACATTCACTGACAAATGAATAATTATTCATAAAAGTTTGTTTGTGTACGTTATTTTGCTTAGTGAATAAATGATCCATGACTTCTGTGGCCAACGGAGAACGATTCTTCGTCTAAGATCTAGACACACCATGTTGGTTAATGCGTTAGATTTGCTTAAAACTGTTCATATTATCAGTGCTAATAAAAAATCAATATGTGGTGAATGCAGTTGTTTAGTTGCCTTGATAGTCTCTAAATTAGTTCAGTTCATCAACATATGACTCACAACTTTTTCACTTTTAAAATTCATCTTATCAGTTTCACCCAATTAATATAACAAACTTTTGCACATGAAGCAGCATGGCTTATATCCCGGCACATTAGAACGCCTGTGTGTAATACATTACTTTTATTGTGCCCTTAGGTTCTGAGTGGGAAATAGGGCTTCAACAGTACATATCCATTTCACCCTGTTCTCTGCAGCCCTATTTAACCGGCTCCACGATAGCCTGTAAGCTTACGTTTTCTCCTCAGGCAATATCCTTGATGTCATCCAGGGTCAAATGCTCAACTTGTCGTTTCCCAAGAGGGTTCCACTGGAGGGCTGGCCTAGCGTGTGATGCCAGGCAACAGTCTTCTCAGCGTGTGTCTCATCCATCTCCATTTTCTCCTACATAGTTGTTGGGTAACAGGTTCTTGGTCAGTTCTTTACCAGTTCCCTGTAGTTGCAGCATATAGCTGAATTAAATTTAACTTTTCCCCATTATTTTATCTATGAGCATACTCAATTTTTTCCTCATCATGGTAAGTGAAAAAAGCCTTAAAATTACAAGTTTAAATTCACAAACAACTTACTCAGGTGAATTCATGAAAGGTAAATAATCTCCGCAAATTGTATCATTATTACCCTTATCGTTATCATTGTTATCGTTATTATTGTGAGCACTTTGAATTGTATCAAATAGATTTAAGCATGGATCGATAGTATCTTCTGACATGAATTTCTCATTGAAACGATCCAGTTTAAATCTACACGGTTGATCTGTCCAATGGATATTATTATAGGATACTTTGGAATGCCATGATAGTGGAATAGATTGTGATGAATATAAAGACGACATATTCGATAATTCCGAGAAAAATGATTTAGAAAATTCATGAGTTTCTTCAGATAAACGATTCATTGCTGCGTTTATTCGGAGTGAAGTGAAATAAAGAAAATAAGAAAGAGAAGAATAATAATAATCATTGTTTTCTTTCCATATTAGTTTGTTTATTAGATATATCACACAATGGAATAGTATTACTTACTGGAGGACGTTTCGAACAAAATTTATTGTTCATAATCATATCAATTATAATCACACGACTTCGAAACTTGAGTTTTATAGTTTTCTTTGTTTTCTCCTATTTGTCGTAGGGGTAGCAGAACTTTCCAGATATCTGGGACAGGTGTTGAGTCATTTCTATTACACGTGTTTGCAGTTGATTCAATAAACAAAGCTTCTGTTATCAGTCTCTCCCTCCACCCTGTCACAGACATTAGATTTTGAAACTGTCACCTTATCCCATCCTATTGTATGGTTGTGTGTAATTGCATGTAGTGCTATGGTTGAACTATTCTCTAGATTTCTTATCGTATTTGGATCAACTAATCCAGATTTTGCTAGGTTTTTATGCTCGGCTAGTCTGACTGCACATGTTCTACTACTTTGACCTAAGTATTTGACCTGACAATCATTGCAGGCTATTAGATAAACTAAATTGTTTTGTTTTAAAGGTTCCACAGGATCCTCTTCCTGACTTTCCAGTTCATAAACGAATTGAACGCTTCAATCACTAATTTCTCCCACCTATCCATGACTAAATCAATCACAACCAGGGATATCGGTGACCCCATGGCAACTCTCTTAGTTTGTTTGTATATTTTCCCCTGCAATTTAAACACTGTGGAAGTCAGGTATAGCTGCACTCCCAGCATTATATCCTCAAGTGGCACTTTCGTCCTATGTTCAAGTTCTTGGTATGAAATGAGTTCGTTTCTGACTGCCTCTGTATTTATATTTATTGGTATACGTGTATATAAACTGATCATGTCAAAACTAACCATTTTTTCTTCGTTATCTAATTTTAAATCATCTAATCTATGTTTTGGTTCATAAATTTTGAGGGTATTAGAAAAGCGACTAAATTTCAATGTGGCGGTAGACAAGCTGAAACCTGAGGATCTTATCCCTAAAATGGAAATAGCACTAAGTGGATAGACAAAACAACGGCTGATGAAGTACGGGCACAAAATGTGCACTAATAATAAAACGACAAAAACGAGAAAAACCTAACCTGACGAAACTAGAGACGGAAACCCTAAAACGCCTTAAGAATAACAAGGCTATAGTAATCACAAAGTCAGTCAAAGGAAATGCAAGAGTAATATTAGACAAACCACACTATTTGGACAAGGTGAATACTCACATACAAACGGGACAATATATGGAAATTAATAAATCAATAGACACCGTTATGAATAAGGTTAAGAAATCCACAGTGGACCTTATACGCCGAATGAAGCCGTTTCTAGATGAGTTTAAATAGTCTAATTTAATGCCCGAAACTAATAACCCAGATATCTGGAAAGTTCTACTACCCCTACGACAAATAGGAGAGAACAAAGAAAACTATAAAACTCAAGTTTCGAAGTCGTGTGATTATAATTGATATGATTATGAACAATAAATTTTGTTCGAAACGTCCTCCAGTAAGTAATACTATTCCATTGTGTGATATATCTAATAAACGAATTAATATGGGGTTACTTTGTACCACAGTGCCCAAGTTTTATACATATATTAACATTATTTCCTTTGCATATCAATAAAGTTTTCTTGAAAAATTCCGTTTTTAGGAAAAATTAACCTTTGGGCAGTAAACATTACTAACATCATATAGTGCTATTAACCTCCTGGTAATCTTACCCACTCAGTAGTAGTGCATATGGAAAATTTCTCCTGTTCATTTTAATTGACAGCATTCTTTCGCTTGGGACTATAATTTGTGCCTTGAAAAAAATTGATTTACAAACGAATCTGACAAATGGTTTGCATTTGTGCGTGACGGTGTAGTAATTAAAAGTAACTCCAGTTGGCAGTAAACTTCTGGTCACTAGTTCGAGTGTTATCACCAGCTGGAACTTCACTTCACCTTACATCCCTACCCAAATAGTCTCACACTATCAATAAGCGCTATTTACCTGAATTTTTCATATATACTAAGGAGGACCTTTTTTCAAGGAAGTTCTAAGCGTATCTACTAATTCATACATTTCACTTAAATACAAAATTTCCTTCGTAATTAATTTTTCTGCTATTAGTAGCACTGTTATCTTCTTCTGGGAAGCTTGTATACTAACAAATGCGTCTAAAATTGCCTCCGTTTTTTATTATAAGTTGAGAATCCATTTGTTGATGTATGTCCATAATACACTTAAAAATTGACTTCTTGGTTGGGTTCCTGGGGATGGTAAAAACCAATGGCTGAAGACAATTGGTGATACGGCTCTAAGTCTTTGTCACTGGCACAGAGGCATTCATTCTTTGTAATTTTTGGGATCCATTAAATCTTCGTGCTTCTTCATGCAATTATTGTTTTTCCTGTACATTTCTATTCATTACAGGTCTTTTGAGTTCCTTTTCTTCACTCTTTTGCTTACCTTTGTATGTTATATGGAGTGTGACAGTAGGAAATTCTGCACTTCCATACAAAGTTCTATGATGAAATTTAGTCAGTCACTCCTTCAAGTTAGTTTAGAGGATATCAGCTTTCTGTAATTGTTTTGATTACTGTTTTTCAGTACCAGGCATTTATTAAATGCTAACTTCATTTTTATCCCAAAGATGTATAAACGGGTACGAAGTCAGTAGGATAAATAATGCACAGAATTTATCTGCCATTCTACTAAATGCTGGCTGGCTGGTTTCAATGTAGAACTTTCCATAGATATGCAGCAGTTCAATTTGCCACAATATGTAGCACACAAAGTAAGAGAAGAGAGTAAAGAGAGATTCAAAAAAGAGATCATACACAGAAGTGTGAGGGAAAAAGAATAGTAATAAGGAAGAACAGCAGTTTTACTGGATATGATAAATCACAAAGAGTGAATGCATCTGAGCCATTGAGAACGAATTTAAGCCATATCACCGATTGTTTCCATCCATTGGTTTTTATCATTTCCACGGTCCCAGTCAGGAAGTCTACACCTCCCAACGTAGCTGACTTAAACTAACGGTTGTAGATTTCACTGACTGGTAAAGCCATGTCTTGGTTTCATCACCACTGGCTCTTTTCCAAACTGATCCTATGTCAGCTAACATCGTCCGTAGAGGAAAGCGATGGCTAGACAGGCGTGACATATGTCCTAACCATCTCAATCGATGTAACTTCACAACCTCGTCAACTGATTTCCCCTACTTACCTAATACTTGACGCCTAACGAAATCAATATTACTCACCCTATTATACCAACTAACACGGGAGACCGGGTGCAGACACCCATCATCAAAGACAACTGCCGGCGTTTTCATGTCTTCAACTTTCAATGGCCATGTATCACTCACAGTCATAAAGGAGAACAGAGCGAACTGATGAGCGATACACACCTTTCTGGTCGACAGTCGGATGTCACGTCTAATAAACCAGTTGGCGTATGCCAGTATATATAATTTTGTATAAAGACACCCGCAATTCCAAATAAAAACATATATTCAGCCATTTCATGATATTCTTACACGTTAGCTTTGTTAGGATTCCAAATGATTTCATAGGAATCTACACTACTTGAAAGTTACTGAAAATTAAAAAGCACAATACAGTTATCCTGTTTCAAAGTATTCAACAGTACTTACACACGACTATATCTTTACGTACAGAATCCGCTATCACTTGACGCAGTGTATAGTGGTCGTATCACCCTTTTTATCTTCACAGCCTTACTCTTGGTCGGGGAACACTGTTCTAGGACTTAGAAACCACAATGAAACAGTTATATAATGCTCATTAATTTTTGCAATAATTATTTAATTTATATCATTTCGTAGTAAAATTTACTTTCGAAAATTCTATTTTTTATGTACAACGTCAACGTTTATTGAATACAAGAGTCACAGTAGCACAAAACACGAAAAATACGGAGACTATTAGTTTGAAGTCAGTTGGAACTTTCAGTTACCAGTATAATTAATTGTGGCTTGCATAAATATGTTTAAAGCTACTATGGATACTTTGAATTGTTGATATTAGATGGTTGGAAGCAATCGGCAGGAAACCTTGAACCTAGGTTTCGTGCTAGTTGGCAATCACCAGTCAACAAGGCGTATCTGCAACCTTGAAGGAACTCATATCCCTTCTGAGATTAGAACCTGTGTCACCCAGAGCTGCAGTCAGAAACGTTACCACTGAGCTATTCGGACTCGCTATTGACCTGCTGTAGGACTGTATTCGATACTTCAATAAGTGCAGAAAAAGCCCCCTCACACGGTGTCAAAGAAAACTAGATTAGAGATAACAGTATTCTTGGTGATTTATTTTCATTGGGCAGACAAACTTTCGGCAGGTTCTACTACTACTACTACCTGCTGAAAATTCTTTAACAAAACAATACATGTTATGTGTAAGTTCTATAGTTTAGACTGAAAATTCACTTATCAGAATTTTGCAAAAACCTTACAGAAATCCACTTCCAAGTGAATTTAATCGTTAAACGATGAATTCTAAAAGACGTTACCTTCATCAGAACCAATAGGAACTGAATTATCTGAGAATACTCGAGTTTGATTCCAACATGTGTGCAAATCTGTGACAGAATCATCCCATACTGGCCATATTGACGGATTATAAAGGTCATTGTTAAACTGATGCATGTCGTTTGACTGAATAATATACGTCTCAGTATTTTCAGGCCATTCAAAACATTCATCAACAATTGGCTGAGAATTATCAAACGAGGCAGCGAGTAAAGTTGAAGTAGAGGCTAAAAATTCAAAATAAAACAATTACGATAAATTATGGTTATTTGAAACCTCAATGGTTCGCATACAACTACGACATCTCAGTTTGGATACAAAAAGCTCGTGTGACACTTAGCAACTTTCATCATCTCGCGTGTAGACGCAATATCCACCTACCAATCAGAAGACGTGTGTACTGCATCGCAGTTCACTCTTTCCTTCTTTATGACTGTGAGACATGACCATTGAAAGTGGAATATTTGACGAGGCTAGCTGTCTTTGACCAGAGATGTTTGCGTTGTATCTCCCGTATTCATGGTATGATGTGGGGAACAATATCGAAGTGACGTGTAGAGCATCAGACAAGAAGAGCAAGTTAATGAATGAGGTTATAAAGCTACACCGATGGAGATGACTAGGGAACGTGTTGCTCATGCCAAGCCATCACCCTCCTCGACGAGCGATGTAAGCTGATATCGGGTAAAACCAAAGTCTAGGATCAGTTTATGAAGTCTTTTGCAGTTGATTTAAGCTACATAGGGAGGTGTAAAGTGTCTATTTGGTTGGGGTCCTTAGGATACTAAAAACAAATGACTGGAGACTATTGGTGATATGGCTCAAAATCGTCGTCAGTGGCTTAGATGCATTCACTCTTTGTGATCTTCTGCATCCATTAAACCTTCATTTTTCTTCATGTAATTATTCTTTCTTGAGTACATTTCTGATCATTATTGTTCTCTTGAATTCTAATTAAGCATTATGCAATCATTCGTAATTCAAGTTCATAGTAAACTTTATTACTGTAACCGCTTTTAGAGTGATAAATCTGGAAATAATGTACATGATATGTCCTGTTTAATTTCAAGACAAAACATCATACCTTTCTTAATTGAGATTGTAAATCATCGATTTGAAAACAACTTCACATAATTTACAGAAACAACACAAATAATGCAGGATACATGTATAATTCATTACCTATAATACCCACAATTATGAGATACGTCATGATATTATTGAGTTCAACATTTCAATCTGGTTCAAAAGCAAATGTCTTGCTGAATTATTATATTATTATCAAAACACGAACTTTGTACAAAATCTCACTACGCCCGAGGCCTGGAATACTGCTCAAACGGCCAGACCAAAGCACGTGATTGACTTAAGAGACCACCGCCGGAACCTTAGACTTGAAGTCTGATCCACAAGGCAATGGAGCAGCGTCAGGAGCTACGTACCCATGAATTCTGGTGACCAAAACATGTTGACACGCCATTTGATCCTTTTCGAGTCTGCCTCTCATGCACACCAGTGGTTCGGAATCAGGGTTTCCCATCTCTCCTAGGTAGATTTGCATGTAAACCAGTGGAGATAAAAACTCCAGATGTTTGAATTCGCCCTTTCACTTTTGTGAGGAACACACGCGAGGCGTGAAGACAGTAAACAGGATTTACTTGACAGAGGCTAGGAACGCGCGGTTACATGAGGGCTTTTCGAGAGGAAGACCATTGAAAATATTCGAAATGTTCAGGTTGATCCTATACAACTACATATTAAAAGTATTTGTTTTTGAGCAAAATAGCAGTTTTGATGCTAGCTACCGTTTTAGGTAGTATAACAGTGGAGAGTAAACTGTTTGGAACTGTTGGAGCTCATCGAGTAGGTACAGGTACCTATAGGTTCGCAATATTTAGCATTACTGCAAGTCAATGTCATCAGTGAGTATTTGCGTACACACCTGACTTGGTGGAGTACACTAGTAACTACTTTTCAGGAAAATCTTACCTGCACTCAGTCACTGGTCAGCATTAGATAAATTTTCAAGTATTGGTTTGATACTATGACGTCATTTTTTGCGGTTTAAAAACATCAATTTACTTTTTAACAATTAGCACCAAATATTTTTCTCCTCTGTATAATTACATGTAACACCGTATTTCAACAGGTAAGTAATATCAATAATCCTCAGACTATAAATATGTCACATACGAACTGGTATGTGAATATGCAACTCGATTTATAAGACACAAAAGATTTGGGAACACAAGCTAACAAAGTTCATGGAATAATAAAATGGTTACTTGTGATGCAGTTTAAAAATTAATACACAAAAAAACTTACACTTTTGATTGATAGTACCATTAGTTCCCTGTAGAATTACAGAAGGTTCAAACCTATTGGAAATAAGAGAGAATAACGTAAAAATTTATCATATACATGGTATCTGAATGTGTATTACACAACGATCACTGGTAAACAGTATTTTTATACCACAAACCTTAAAGAGCTGTAAACTCAACAATTAGTGTCCCTTAGGCGTCGTCACAATGAACGTGTGATGTGTCATTATCTTAGAAAGGCAACAGTGAATTCAGTTAGTCTGTCTACCTTCCATTAAAAAATGAACCTATTTGTAAGCAAGAGTATGCATTTGGAAGGTGAGGAATGCAGTGCAAGCTATGTCACTCAACACATTTTGGTACATTATACACGACGTTAAACTTCTAATAACAACTATTTTTGCAATTTGTGCAGCTTTATTATTTAGAACGATATATCCATGCTGAAGTGAATAGAAATGGAGAGAAAGTACACGTCCTCTCTCTAACCGATAACACAACACAACCCACTGTATCCACTTCTAGGTAAGAAATCAATGCAGATAGATACAACAACCACAAAGAGTCGAGCAAAATTATCGACAAGTGGTATATAGCGCATAAAACATCCTGATGAAGTTAACTATTTCAAAATACTCTATGGAAGATAGAATACGATTAACAAACCAAGTGAATAGAGAATATTTGCTCAGAGCCCTGTAGAATTTTGTCTGAACCATCCGCCATATAGACGAATTCTATTAGAATACAAGTACTATCCAATGCGCTATCAAAATTTATCCTGCTATACGAGTAAGCCAAGGAGAAACACTTACTCATCGTTAAGTTCATCAATATATTGTTTCTGAAATGTTGTTACAGGTAGAATATTTGAAACTGAAGAATTCTTTTCATTGTAATGATCACGTTGACTGTCGAAAATTCCATTCACCGAATCTGATTTATATTTTAAATTGACTGATAAAGAAGAATGATTTTGATAAAGTATATTAATTCCAGATTTTAAATTTCTTTCCTTGTCTTTATAATAACTACCTTCCACATCAGGTCCAGATGTAGATGATGGTGAAGATGAATTACCTGTTATACGCGAAGAGATACGTTGGGCATGCTTTTTACGCGCTTGATGATGTTGATGTTGATTATGATTGCTGACATCTTCAGTAAGTCGTATTGAGGCTTGTACAGCAGCAACAATATCAGCTTCAGCCATGTGAGGTGGTGAGACATCTTTACTAAGTGTTGTCGCTGGAGTTATTGTTGAAGTCACCGTTAATGGAGAGTCTATTTTTGCATACCGTGAACCTTTTATTAACTGAGACTGATCTTCCGATGTATTCAAATTTGATAGCTTCGTAAAGGAGTCAATAGCTTGAGTTGCTGAAGTTCTCTTTTTACGATTTACTCGTGTAGTTTTATCTGGAAGCTGACTTGTCGTTTTTGATAAATTTATAGTAGGCAGTGGTTTTCTGAAAGAAAATGAAATATTTCAATATTCTTAACTAGATGTCCTGTGATAACGTGATTATTCTGAAATGTCTTTATATCATGAGTACGGTTAATATTAGTTTGAAAGAATCTGATAATTATCTCATTATAGTGGTTCATAGCTGCTGACAATTACTATAAACTTAATTCTTTATGAGATTTGTGGGATCATACATACGTCAGGTAAATATCAAGGGGAAATAATCAGGGTACAATCAGGTTACAACCTCATTGTAACAAATGAATCAATACAAAACAAAAATAACTATTCCATTGGCTAACAACTCACTGGTATGACATTCCCCTAATGGTTATGAACGAAATTCGGGTTTTTAAGCCCGTACAGTTTTAATGAAAATCACTTCTGAGCGATATTCACCACTTTATGCTAGTTGTATATATCCAAACCAAGTTCACTTTTAACAGTTTAAAAAAATTTGGGCATTCATATTCAATATTATAAAAGATTTTGTATTTCCCAATGGATGAAAAACAAAACGATTTGGTTTTACTGAAGTTTCTCTATTTAATGCTAATAGCTTTAGTAAACTTTTATAAAACCAGAATTTACAAAATCACAGCTTATATACAACAACTTAGTCATCGTTCATCAGCATGGAGTAATTTTCACGTTGTCAAGCTGGCCAATTGGTAGAGATAATAAAACCATGAGTAGATTGTTGGATTTGATAAGCGTATACAATTATAAGAGCAACATGTGCTGACATAATGGAATTGCTTATCTCATTCGTGTTGGTTTTGCCATTTCATCGTGGAGGGGGCGGGGTGTTGTAACCAGGTTAAATTCTGTTTTAGTCCTTCATTCCTATTCGGACAATTGGGATTCCATTTGACGTGAAGTGCTTCTGATGTTAGACGGTCTTTGTGATTTCTGAAATTTTTCTGGATTACTTCAATACTGTCGAAACAATTTTGTGACCTGATTCTATAGCGCGTACACCTACAGCTGATGATTTTTACAGCTTTTCTAGTTCAACTGGACTTCTCGGTGGTCGAATAGATGGTTATTGGGAAATACAAAATCCTTTATAATTACGTAAGACTACTCAACTAATTCTCATAATCTATCCGTGAATTTTCCCGATATGTTAGCTAGTATAAATCGTTACCAAATGACATTAACAATCGACCTTCATTAGCATTTACATGACATTTCAGAACACCATATAACAAACTGTACAGCTTTGATAAGAAGTTACGCAAAGAATATCCTCTGTTGACCTATGCCTTTTTAATTCTATATTCGATAAGTTTGTTTCATATAATACACACATATACAGTACCAATGACTGGATGAGGTAGTGACCACAATTTGTTATTCATAAGCATATCTACGTATTCTATTCACACGTCTTCGTAGCGTGCTTTACATGGTTTTTTAATTCCACTTGTTGTTTTTTTGGTGAAAAGTTCCATATGTCAAGTTCAGTACTGCATCATCTCTGTTTTATTGTATTTGATGTTGACTCAATGATTCAGATGAATTACAAAAGAGGTCAAACTAGATAGATTATCAGAACAGAGGAGTTTAGCCTATGCATGTAATCGCGTGTAATTTTATACGCTTGGTTTTCAACTGATATTAATAATTGACCTCAAGTGACGTTTCCCATGACTAGTAATTTAACTCTACAGTTTAGATAAGAAGTTACGCAAACAGTATTATTTAAAAAAATTCATTTCAGGTGGATAATGTATATGTTAACAAACAGTGTTAACTTACGATATTACTTTAGTATTTTTTAATTCACCGATTGGTAATGGTTTCGATAAACCCAGCTGAAAAATAAGTAAGCTTTTAGAGAAAAAGTTGAATAAATGCATATTTATTGACACGGAATTCAGAAATACTAGAAAATATGTGAAAGATTAACTTCTATGGGATCACACATCAAAGTAAAGTGCAATCGATTTCATTAGTAAACAACCTATAGTTTTGCTTTCTTCAAGGTTCAAAAGATCGCCATGTGATGCAATTAAGAAGGTATAATTCAGCAAAATAAAGAGATCTCCTTTCTCACCATCACTTAGCTGTTTATTTATTTAGGGGTTTATATATACACAATGTTAATTGTCAATAAAAGTCAGAGGTTAGTGTTAGTTAATCAGTAACAGAAACAAACCAAAGTGTATGAGAAATATCAGTCTGTGAAAAAGTGAGTAGTCTTACGCAGTCGAGAAGAACGGAGAGGGCAAATTCAATGTGCATTTACCAGTTCAACTGTTTGTGCGGATTTAAGTATATTGGTAGTACCAGAAAGACATTGTCTAGGCATGCCCACTAACACTAACCATAATGGTTGCCTAGGGGGGAAAGCGTTGAACAGTCCACAGCTCAATTCTGGAGCACATTATACATTATCGTCACGCACCATCAGCGAGGACTTCATTCAAAGTTATATAAATAAAGTAAAGTAAAGTCAGCCCAGAGAATTTCGGTTACATCTTCATGAAGCCAAGCCCTTAGAACATAGGAAAAGTGATTTCACCCCATGGTATCTACCATTTTAAACGTACATGTAGTCATAAATACATAAAGACTCATCGATTTTTGCAAGTAAGAAGTGAACCCATTAGTGGTGAAAACAGAAGACCTAGCTATTCTATTCTGGCACATATTATAGATAGAGGGCATAATTTTGTTCTTTACACCTCTTTCAAGCCTATCTATAAAGCATGTTTGAGCAGTACCCTAAAGGAAGTTTAAACCGCCTTATGTGTTCAAAAATAATTTATCATCACATTAAAAATTCCTTGGTAAACTTTGTTTTGATACAGGAACAGATGTATTATTACCTCGCTTCTTTCGTTTATTGATCTGCATTATTACTTTGACCTTCAATATGTCATTGCAACTTAATCTGTGTCTATCCCTTTATCCCCTAACAATTATTTTCACATAAATTCCCAAGGCAAATACCTGTGTGATCAAGCTGTTCGACATGTGTTGCACAAATACATAACACAATTCAGATAAATTATATCTTCTTATTGTTCTGTTTGAATGTAATAGACATTTTTATATGGAAATTGCGATACGAATAAAGTCATTTGACAAACAGGCATACAAACACTTTAAACAATCTGTAAATTATGTCTCTCTTAAAGGAAGATGAATTATTAGACGAACGCCATAAAATGATAGAAGGTGAGATAACTTGCTTGGTTAGACGATTAACAGTTAATAAAGTGATAGAATAATGGTATATATATATATATATATATATATATATATATATATATATATATAGTGTTGAAAACAACTGTGCGAAAACACAAAACCTACGCATCTCATCGAATGAATGGATGACACTATTACTTATTACGTATTAAGTGTTCAATGTAATGCTCATAATTTGCATATAGTAATAGTAGGCATTACAATTGTGAACAACTGTACAGAGTGCAGAATGGAAGCTGAATACTGCACATCGACGACGACATCATTCTAATTCTTTTAAAGACTGATAAAATAAAGTAGAAACTCTACACGGAGATGAAGCGATTCAAGATGTTAAACTCTGGTGAAGAAAAAAACAAAAAGAACAGGAACAGAATTGCACTACGATAGGCAAAGTGCATACGTGAAGAACAATTTTGAGTGTATCACCAAGATTCCCTAGTCGAGTCAAATATACATACAGACGATAATCACTGATGAAACTTAATGATGCTTACTCTGTATCCTGAATTAGTTGAAACTGGAAATTATTAGTCACAGGAATTTAATATGATGGAGATTTGTAGCTCAGGTGGATAATTTTGTATGAATGAATTTGAATCAGTATCTGATTGATAACAAACAGGCATGAAAAATAATTCTGAATCGCGTTTATACATCCAAAAAGTCTTCTTAGTAGACAGTGATCTCGTATCTGATAATTAGTCACTGCTTTTCTTCAGTGTATTTTCAATACCACGTGGATGCAGAATCCAAGATAGGCAAGTCAGATTAAAACGTTTAATCATTCACTACTTGTATTTCTTATTTTAGCAGCACTAATATTATAACGCATAAGGTGGACACACAATGACACTAGAAGATCCGAAGTTACCAGATAATTTATGTGTTATGTCACACAAACTTGAAGATTTACAAACGGAAGAGGTGACGAAGACTGCCAACTAAAAGCAGCATCGTTTCAATCGTAGGCGGAACGGCTGAGAATGTCAAAGTCAGTCAGAATGACATGAGGAAAGCGAGACAGATGTTCATTACTCTGTAATTAGTGTGGAGACCTACAGACCTTAACACATGGAACAAGATTCAGATTTTTAACACTAGCGTCAAGTCAATGCTTTGAATACAGATGTGTATATTCCTCTCTAAAAGGAAAAACTCTGTATTCTGAATTAATCTCTTGGGAAACCTGATGATCCTTATCGGTGAACTTTCTTTAACCATTACCTCCATATAGAATTTATGTGCAGTAAGTATAGCTGCCTTGATATACTATTATAGCTAGAGGTGCTAGTTTTTCAGCAGCAATTTTCCTAGTCGATCAAATAAACAAGATGTGTGGGTCTTCTGAGTGATGGCTGTGAAGCAGAATAACCTGAAAGTTCAAGGTAAAGTCACAAGACTTTTTTTCGTTTACTTTATCAATCATTTTGTTTTTATTCCATTGGCCAACTATTCCGCTGAAGTATCTCTTCCTATTTAACCATACTTAACAATCGGTGGGAATAAGACAGTTGATTCTAGTCTACTAAAGTTCAACGCTATTTCATATTCAACCGCGACTAGAGCCTCAGCTAGGGAGTTAATAAGCTGATAGAATTAAAGTCAGCACACATGCCGGTTCAAAACATCAGAGTACATATTCCATACTCTATCTATGCGTCTACGTCCTCATCTTCCGGTAATGCAACCAAAGATTGAACTAGACGGGCCACATTTGTCTCCATAAAAACCCAATCTGTCGGGTGTAACAAGGCCAATATCAGGGCCTCGAAAACGTTTCCTGGTAAAAGTTCTGCAGTTCTGTTGCTAGTAAAAGCGACTCGGCCTCCAAATACAGTTTTTGTAATCGGTGGGTGTACTAACGATGTGACAAACGTGTACCTGAACCACGTGATTTACTACAAAATAACTCATACCCCCAGTCTTAGACATTGTTTCACCGGAAAACACAAAAACGCATTGCCAAAGGAAGATGAAAACTATGACCAAGATACTCCAAACCAAAGGATTAACAGTACAAACCCAGTGAAGCCTAAGACACACGATATCTGTTTTACGCATGTTAACGCCACAAACACCCTCCACAAAACAGTAAAACCATGAAGCAGACTAAGGTTATAGATCTTAGAAGGGAGGACTGGCGACCAAAAACTGCACAAAAGTTCGAGGTTAGTAGGCCAAACTGTCTTACTCTGTTCAAAGTAACGGTGTGTCGCAGCAACCTACTAGAGCAAGAAGCAATGTCTGGTCAGGAACAGCAGTCTAATTTGTGCAGTACACTAGGGTTAAACATCCTGCCCGTTAAGTAGTGTTGACTACAAAAGGGTAATTAGGCACCTCAAGGTAAAACATCCCCATTAAAGGTAGCATTGAGTTCTGCTGAAGATGTTATAAATATGTTAATCTCCAAAGTGCTAGTTATTTAGATCTTCATACATACGAATACGACGTGACAGGACATCAGGGGTCAGCAAATGGCAAGGTAGTCATCGGAGTATCCACTTCCATAGATATACATAGTGTTCAGGCACTCTTGTATAACACTGTGTGATTTATCAGAATAAAATCCTACCTATAATGGAGTTATACTCTACCACAGTGCCCAAGTTTTATACTTATATCAATAAACCCACACGATGTTTAGTGATGGAAATGGCTGTTAATAAATGGAGCAATCTCTATCTGTAAGCTACTCACCTCATATCGTTCGACTCACCACGACGGCTGGTTGATGAATTCAGGTATCTGGAGCAACTAGCTACGGTACAAGTGCATTGCTTCGAGGTCAAAGATAAGATTAATGGAGATATTCACTGTTTTAAGAGTCGACATCTACCTTAATGAGGCAAAAAAACTATGGTCACAATGAATCCTCAGACTTGCTTTACTACAGCTGTGTAACGTGGAGAGTAACAATTAAGGTTATTCAAGTGTGTTAATAAGACGTGAAAATAAATGAAAACATACCAGGCCCATAGAAATTGGCCAATTAGTTCGAACATTAACTTCTCACCAAGTGGCCTACTCGGCGTCAATCACCCCACAATAAAGTGATCTGATATGGCTTACTATCAGTTTTTTATATGGCAAGGTGACGGGGTGAGAGGTAAGGTAAACGAACTCAGAGATTTACAACCCTACCTTGATCTCGAAATGGTTGACCCTTGCTGCTGTTGACAATGAAGTCAGCACATGCAATATGGTGTTAGTTAGGTGGGATCAGAATCATAAGAATGGGAGGTCGTCATATACACCAGCAAGCAGAGAAGATGCGTACTAGCAGCGAACCCACTCACTCACAGACTCAATATGGTACCATTTTACCGACAGCCACATCAAGCATTTAGTAGGTGGTATGTGTCGACCACTTTCATATGGAGTGGGACACAGAAGCTTTTCAAAACCATCACGGAAATAAAGAACCTGGACTAAAACAAAATCACCATAGCTAGAGACTTCAACGCTTCATTCCTTAACCCGGGATAGGAGTTTGTTCAGTGGGCATTAAACCGAAATCTGCTACACATCGTAAGAAAGGTCGGATGGATTGAGAACGTGGGAGACGACATCAGGGAGGTGTTTTTCACCAAAGTGAGAGGGCGAAAGCGGATGCCCGGCGCTCTTCACCGGGTTGACTGTTCATTGGATGACAGTCTAGGGGAGATGGCTAAACCCTGATTCCAAACCTCCAACGACTGGCGTATGAAGCTCACTGGAGCTCACCGACAGACGTATAGACAGAGGGCTTGTTGGATGTCCTGGATGTCGGCCCCATTCAAAAAGGCGTATGAACCGAACTCCGGTCACCGGCTGCCAATAGATGGTGGACTCCCTACTCCACTCCTACTGCCTTGTAGGTCACACTTGGTTGTGTAAAGGCTAGAGCTGCACTCTCAAACAAAAGGCCGAGCGATTCTGGGGATATCACTCGTACCAAATTCCCATGAAACTTCTTGAACTCTCTTTATCAGATCGCCGCGCCTGGGCAGCGATGATTCGAGATGTTCATGAAGCCGGCTCATCCTTCCGTAGGAGATAGCCGAAAAAGTAAGTAGTAGTAGTACATCAGGGTGGGGATCTAGTGGAAAGTTGTCAAAACTGAATATCCTAACTAGTGACCATTTGTTAGTGGAAGACGTTTAAGTCGATACTTGTTTAGGTAGTAGCGACCACGCGGTCATAGTGTTTGATCTAGTTTTTTGTGACCGCTTAGACTGGGATGCTACGTGACCTGACTGACTGACCTGAAACCTACGCGATCTTGTCAGCACCATAGCAGATCCGGCTACACGACGCGGCTTAGCCCATAGATTAGGCTGAACTATTAATTGATGAATATTGAGAAATTGTAAAGGGAACTATTCACATAGCAATCTCAAAAACCGTGTAGTGTACTCTCCAAGATAAATGAAAAGCCAGGTATAAATAACGGCTATTTGGGAAGTAGACTAACCATGATGCATACTTGGCAACTCGAAGGTCAGGAGCGACATAGGGTTACTTCATGTATATTTTGCCAAAAAACTCCTGATGAACCTCAAGAACTTATACTGGTCCATGTCACAAAGAAAACCTACCAACTTTGGGGTGTGCACTTCAAGAGGTCTACATGGTCAGCATTTCACTAGTATGAAATTAAGTGAAACATTTATTTTGGCCTCTGACTTACAACTACACAGCACTGTGAGTAAAAGCACCGCAGAGTGAGATAGTCACTTCACTGAATAACCGAGCACAATTATAATAGTTGCATCCTATAATAACTACACAACGCTGGTAGAGAAATTAGCAAAACTCATCACGGGGAAGTCCCAAAGTTGTGATGATATTCACCTGTCAGTTTTAAAACAGTGGGTGGAGGCTCTCTGTGGGCCTTTTTACGACCTGTTTCAACACTCTATGGACTAAGAGAAACTAACTGAAGACTAGGAGAGAGTCATCCATCCTCCTATCTTCGATGGAGGGTATCAATAGACTTGTAACATTGTTCCCAGTTGTACTGAGAAGCGTTGGAATATCTGGTAGACGACCATATCAAGAAACAACACTAAGAAGCGAAACACAGTTTCAAAAGAGGAAGGGCCTGTGCTACCAACCTGCTGAAAAGAACGGGATAAGTAATTCAGCAGAGACTCTTCTCCATGAATTTACTTTCTTTAGCCTTACAGTTGCAGCGGATAGCAACAAAATGATGAGCTGTTAATATTAACCAATGCATAAGAGGAGTTACAGTTACGTAGTATGACACTCCGCATACTGTGAATCACATGACCGCATACTCCTATACCACCGTCCCCGGAACTTCCTAAGATAAGAGTGGAGGGATTGTTCTGATACGAATAGTTTCTCACCTGAAGTTAACCAACGGTCTTACGCAAATGATCTTAGACTAAACCCTTCTAAATTTCAGATTGCTAATTTTACTTTCAGATGTGAACAGGACCCGCATGGACTGATTCAGTCCGACGATTCTTGTAATATTGACAAAACTGTGGCAGGAAATAAATCGCATATTACCTCTCGTGGCATCCGTTTAGTGTAAACATAAACACTCACGTTAAATACATATATCAACATTAATACAAACACCATCACACTATCAGAGTAATTCTAGAGCATTGCAAATTCATGAAATCTGAACACTTGCTTGTCATCATTGATATACACCCCACTCAACAAGTCCAACAAACAAACCTATGCATACACACAAAAATAAACACATCACTCACTCTCAACAAACTACCACACATCCATCCCATCAACCCACAACTCACATACAAGCACAAACTTCCCACAACAACAACAAACATCATCCCAATCACAATTCATTCACTAGAAAACCATATACGAAACAACCAACCACACATACAACTACAACTACACCCACAACTCACACACACTCACACTGCAACAATACCAATTACACCACATAATCCAATAGCCAATACCTCACCAAACACAACTCAGCACACAAACTCTCTCACACACACAACACCAAAAAACACCATACACCAAAACCAGAGGTTACAAATAACACATCAGAACACAAAAACAATACATAATAATCATCTCATCAACAAATGTACGACCCCATATTGAAACAGCTACATCGCCATCTCACCCACAATGGAGTCGATCCAACCTTCATGTAGTTCCCACTGCGACGACAGACAACGCTTACGCGGATCTGCGCTTACAGGAACAACACTCCCTCATACCAATTACACACAATCAATCATTAACAACACTAACACAACCATTTCATACCCTTCATCAACAAACATCACTCATCCTCATCATCACCTACATCAAATCACAAAACTCAATGTCAAAACAAATACAACACAAACACATAACGACAAAACACACCACACCACACAACACGTCACATCACATAGTAAACAAGCAAACAATAACTAACACACTCACACCATCAACCTTCGAATGACATCACACGCCAAGGCTCTCCCTAGTGGAACTCAAATGAAAAGCGACGGGTTGGGTTCAAAGGGTGATATGGAGGAGATAGTGTGAAGAGGAACTGAGAGCTTGTGAGCAGTTGTACAACAATGGGGATGTGCAGCTGGGACCCTACATTTCAACTTGAGACGTAAAATATACAACAAATAAACAGATTATACCTACTAAAATAGTAAATAATATTTTGAGAAAAAAAGCAGACATCCTGAACTTACTGAATTTCTTTTATTGATCACCACTGCATCATTCAATTTACCATCAACATTTCTAACGGTATTAGATAATGTTTGTTGATTCCGTTGAGGATAGAAGAGCAGATATTTTATCCATGAATTAAACCAACTGATGGCTTTACCAGCACATATACTGAATTGTTTGATCGTTTTATACGGATATATAATGGTAATAAATATCCAACGAAGACTAATCGTATGTTTAATGAGAAACAATAAGCCTAATATCCATTTACAATAATAGTTATTCCAATATGAAGAGCCGGTTGTTAACTGATGATTTATTTTCTGTTCCCCTGAATCAGATATACTTGATGCTGACGTTGGTAAAACACTTTTTAGCCTCAGTTTTCGTTCTGTTGTTACAATATCAGATGAGACAGTGTGGTCAGTTGAAGGACTGGTAGCAATATTAGTAGTAATAAGAGAATAAGATAAATTTGTAACCAACCCTGTAGACCGTTCATCATATAAATCCCGTTTAACATCTTTACAATAAGTGATACACGTTTTCTCTGTTGTTTGATTTAAACTAAAAATTTTCGTGGAATCTGGATAAAAATTCTCTGGTGATTCATCAATATGACGTCGGAGAGCAATATGATTAGTGTGTATGCCTTTCGCGTCTGCATAGGATGATATCAGTATTCCAATGATATTGAATACATAAAATATTAGAACCATTATCCTAGAAGAAAAGAGTGGTAGGAAAAGGAGTATGGATTGATATTTTCATAACGAACAGTAGAAACAATTTCAAAGAGACCCTCCAAAACGCTCAGAAATGCTCCCAACATTATTAGCTTCTAACATGCCTTAACCACGCTGCATATATCCATACCATGCACTCACCGTGATTTTTCACACAAAGTCATTCATGTGTTCAAGATGTCAAACTTATAGTTGACTGACACCGTTCACATCCCAATTTGTTATCGTTCGTTGACCAATCATAATAAAGGTCAGTTGAATGACTCATCCATTTCATCTTGTGTATTCTATGTTCTACCAATAGACGAGAGGGATAGAGGATAGAAAAATATTGGTTTCAACGTGTGTGAAGGCACAGTAGTAATGGTGATGTGAATACAGACAGGGCATATATTATTTCTTATAATTTTGGTACAGTTCACTCCCGGAGTAAGGAAGAACAATAAACTTAGGATTTGATTTAAAATGGTCATTAAAAAAATCATGGTAATGAATAAGAGCCATACATCACCAAAATAACACTTTTTGTTTTTTAAAATTACGGGACTAATATTGATTTTAACCTTAGTGATAGATGTCAGTTGCGCCCAGAACATAAAAATTCATCCTATAGCTACTGTTGATATGCCCGATGAGATACAAACACCATGCTCAGTATATCAGTGCTATGTACTGTCAAAGATATACTCAAGATCTCAAAATACGAAGTATTAAGATGTCTGTACAAGATAGTGGCAAGAGTTAGAGTATAGCGACCCAATGGAATGACGTTGAACAATCGACCAAATCAGCCTTATTGTAAAATATCATCGTGATCTTGTACTTCAATACTGTCTGGATAATAGGCTTTTAGGAAGGACCAGTCTTCCAACGTCTTGTGATACCCGGATCAACTATTCACACAGACGAATGGAAGCGTGCGAATGTGCGTCGGTGGCACAGTGGTTAGGACTCTCGCCGACCATGCACATGGGCCGGGGTTCGATCCCCTGCCGGCGCACACCCGATATCTATGGTCAGCCTGAATTTGGGCTACCGATATCCATGCTGAAAATTCCACACTTGTACTGAAAATACGGTGTGGAATCAAGCTGTAAATCAAAATAAAATAAAAAAAATAACAGCTATTATCATCCGGCTGTACTCATTCTAGTGATTTTGTTGATACCCATTCGAAAAACAGATTCGTGAGATAAATGGGTCACCTCGATAAATTCAAGTACAAAAGTGGTTTGAACTAACGCTACGATTCCTAATGACAAACTGGTAGATACTTCTAGAACATGTAATCGATTGCCATTTTGTATAATTATTTTGTCCTATAAGATTTTCTATCCAAAGAACTCCTTGACTGTTTGATGGGTTCACTATACTTTAGTCTAGCCAGGGTAGTCTATACACCAATGAAAATTGATCAGTTAAAAACAATAAATTACCACTGAATTACATTTAAAAACTTTAAATCTTCGAATAGTAAAGAAAAGAGAGACAGAGAAAGATACTTGATAATAGTTACAATTCCAATATACAAGGATTATTCTACTCTCTGTTGGTAAAGTGACTGTGAATGAATCGTGAGAGCCTGCAAAAGTGATGGATAATGAGTACCTCTTTTCATTATGTGACTTTTGAAGTATCAGCCATAGTAAGTTAAAGATGTATACATATATATGAAGAGTAAAAGTGGAAGAGAAACAAACACAATCGCTATTTATCCAGCTAATGGTAATTACTTTATGTTCAGTATAGGGGGAACAGTACTTTCAGAATAGAAAAAAAACACGCAGATTTCACTTTGACTTTCAGTCAAGATAACTGTGATCTGAATCATATTCTAGAAGCACTAAACAGTTGTCCCACACCTCGTTTAAATTCACAGAATAAGTTTAAAATGTTCTAAGAATTACATCTTTTCTATGTGGACAGTAAGAGACAATAATACGGCAGCTAAAGCTCAGTAAGCATAGTCAACTTTAGGATGAAAAGAGATATATGAGTTAGCAACATATTTAAAACTATGTTACCTAGTCAATGCATCAGTATCTTCAGTGTGTTTGTGGCTTCCATCTGAGTAACCGTAGTGGATTATCGACTTTCCCAGTTAACAATTTGCAGAGTTGATTTCCGTTCCATTTGGTCTGACAGAATCTTAGCACTTGTATACCATATCCTACTATTTCTTTCTCAATCTTTCCCAACATAAAATATTTTGCGGACATTTCATGTCCATTTGCTCACTTCGGTTTTCACTAAAAGAAGATATATCGGCTGACTGACCAGCGTCATTTCCTCTCAGACTCCCGTGAAGAATAAGTTCTTTTTTAAATATTTTGCGGTGCAGTGAAGTTTCTATAGCGATTGAATTGGTTTTCCGCGGTAGGATAGTTAACCCCACACCGGGTTTATGGCGGTCTGGTAAACTGCGTAACTAGTAGACTAGGCGTCGTAATCTTAACAAAAAGGACTAGAACATAATTTCACCTGCTATGAGCTATTTATTCACTTCTTTCGAAATAGTGTTTCAGTTGTGTGAATGCTTCTGCTACATACTACCAAGCTAGATTATGGGTAATAATAACCTACTTTGGTAATCTTTATCTGATTATATTACCCAAGAGTAGTGTTAATTATTATCCTTCTTACTCTTAGACGCCTTATCATTTTATATTTTAATTGGTTTTTTATGTTTCATATAAATTGATCTGACAAGTAAATGTGTGTGATCAGAGTGTTAGAAATATATTACACAAATATGTCACCTTTTTCAGATAAACTCTGTCTTCTAATAAACGCTGTCTAAGTTTAGTGAAGGGACGGAGTATTTTAGTAGTTTTATTTTACAATTTTAACAGACTTTGATTCATCGGAGACAATTAAGGATGTTCTTGGTATACACACGGATCGAATTGTTGAGTGAATAAAATATTATGACTATATATGTAGTGCAAATGAGGTTTTTGGAGGAAAATAAAAAATGTGGGGAGCAGAGGTAGCAACAAGATTTCGTGGTAAATAGCACATAAGATTACGTAAGTCATTAGAAACTGGAAACAAATAAATGAAGTATGGAAAAAACTATTATGAGTTACGCCCATTTAGCTAGCCATCAGACAAATGAAGCATGAAGTTTAGTAAGTGATGGTGTAATCAAGTAAGAATGAAAGATGACACAATTACTTAAGATTAAAAGCTGAGTTACCAAGGCAGAGAAAGGGATTACTATTTACATTTGATGAAAGGTGATGTAATCAATTAAGGTTAAGTGATGAGAGGGAGGAGACAGAGAACTCACTATACCTACTTTTTGAATAAACAAGTCAGGTGTCAACCGTTTGAAAGAGATGGCCACTGCAAAGGTTTGCAATTTTTACAGGTCAAGCTTCATATATTGCAGACAGGTTCGAAACTTGTTGAGATAAGCTTGGCAGGATGGAGTGAATTATTCCAAATGCTTTACTTTTTTTATTCAACCACCTAATCAATGTACCCTGGAAGAAACCAAATAGAGTTTCAAAACGGCAGATTCCTCCAACCAATTATTCGACAAAAATTCAAAGATACAAATTTGCGTAATGGGGCTGTAAATTTGACGAACATATATGCCAAAGATTCAGGCCGTAGAACTGTTACTCATTAGTGTAGATGACTGATTTTCGCCTAGTGTCCTACCGGTTCAAAACCCACAAAGCAGTACTGACAAACCTTGGACGATAAGTATATATATAAGTTAGATATGGTATTATGTAAAGAAGGCTGGTCAATCGACAGTGTCAGTTTTCATTATCTTCTTTGGCGATAAATGTTAACTGGAGTAGGTTATGTTTGAAAAAATAGTTTACTGATGGACACACATCGAGAGGCAGAACTAACTGATTATGTCTCTGACTGCTGATATTAGGAGAGACACAAGGTGCTTTAGAACATGGAGAATAAAACATACGGTGCCAAGTCGTTCATAATGATGATTTTCGAAATTCTCAATATTTTCACGAATCATTTACTTATTCTTCCTCATCTGACATGTATGTTTGTATCCTGTAAAATTACAATGTTTCTATTACGAATTTTAACGACTTGAAATGATGTACTTCCGTGCAAGGTTCTATACTGATCTATTCGACTGTTCTCCTGGTTACAACTTGTTCCCTCTTTATTAAAAAAACACAACTAGATAGTGAGCAGATTACAGGTTTAATTGCGGAAGCAGTGATGAAAAGGCTCGAAAACAAAATCCTACCAAAGATCAAACCCAAAATTTTAGATACGTTACGTATATGACACATTTGTAATAATCAAAAGAAACGAGTTGGATAAAACTCACAACTTAATAAATGACGTCTTCAATGACATCAAATTCACAAGAGAAGAGGAATTCGAGACTGAAATCCCATTTTTGCACGTCTTAGTCAAGCGAACAACCACAGGGGAATTAGAAATTCAAGTTTATAAAAAATCACCTCACACAGACCAAATACTGAATTACAACAGCAACAATCCGATAACACACAAAAGGAATTGTATACAAACACTATTCAAGAGGGCCAGGACTCATTGCAGCACTCACACCTTAAGAAAATTGAAGAAAGATATCTCATGGACAGAATTTCATCAAAAGACATATACCTCCAAGCCAACCTATGAAATCAAAGGCCCCCAAGGAAAGCACAAAGAAAATCACCCAACCATTTATAAAGGACATCTCAGAAATCACCGCAAGACTCTTCAAACCTTTAGGAATTGACGTCGCAAACAAACCAACAAAATCACTTTACTCAGCCCTGTGTCAACCAAAAGACTCACCCGCGAAAGAAGATGAAACCAACATCATCTACAAAATAAGTTGCAACGACAGCGAAAAGCACTACATTGGTCAAACTGGACGTCCCCTTCGTTTTTGTATCCACGAATATAAGCGGTCAAAAGACATGACATCCACTCTCTCATGTCACTACATACAGACAACCACGGACATCAATTCCACTGGGGCGACCAACGATCAAATATTAGACAGGGGAAACACCAAGAATGCTAGAGAATTTTTAGACGCCTGGTATTCCAGCGAATCGTCAATCAATAGACACATCGAGATAGAAAAAATTTACCAACCGATAAGAAGGAAATCTCACACACAAAGGGTCAAAGTTCAAGTCAAGGAAACAATCAGTTCCAATACAAGTAGCCTAAAGGGTGTGAAAACACACAAAAACAACCAATCACGTTCAAGGTCACCAGGAGAGATGACTAATGAATTCGTGAAGAAATCTAAAAGCTCACTTCAAATTGAAGCATGCACTGAAGATGTTGCCTAGTAGGGTAATAAAAGCTTCGCAAATTAACTATCCAGCTCAGAGAACACAACCACATCAAAGGACATGTAATCAGTAACCCAATACAGTTTTGTAATGTTATAAGCTATGAGCGATATTTATGGCATTAGGACTAAGGACACTGCTGCGGTTGTCTAAGCTTAATTGATCAAAACAAGGTTTGAATATGAGATTCATAGGATAAGAAAAGTTGAGCATGTAACGTAAAAAGTCACACTTTTACGCTATAGTGAAACTGTATAGAATGGTATCTCAAAAACAAAATATAATTTTTATTATTGTTTTTGTTTTTAGGTTGGTTTGCATTTCCTGATTATTACCTATGTTGGACCAAAATGATCGGTCTCTGTTGACATGTGAGCTCCTAGTACGGTCGCTTCGACGATGTCTTAAAATTGACGTAAAGGTGATTCGGTTGATAGTGACTAGCAGTAATATACAGTCTGTAAGCACTTCGGCCTATTCAGGACACGTCACAACTACGTGTACCTGCATTCACAGTGAGTAGTCATGGGGTTCCTAGTGAGACTGGAACCCCGCAACCATCGTTTCAACCACCAAAATATTATCCAGCAGGCTACGAGGGTCAGGAGAGTCATTCATCTGAGGATTATGCACAGAACAACAGAAATAAAAAAGTGACTAAAATGGCAGTAATCAACCACCTGTCAACTAAGAATCCGGTTACGAAATAAGTTGTTGCTATTTTGTTACAGAGGAAAAAACAGCTGATCACATAGACGAGAAAAGAAAATCATCGTGTAAATAACCTACCATAGAAATGATTCAATCGGTGGTCTAGGCAGAAAATTAAGACATGCGCCCAATAAGTATGTATTGAAACTAGCCTCTAATGGAATAATAGGCAGTTGAATAAACATTAAATCATCATGAATGTTATCTGTTTGATTATTTGATTCTTTCACATTCAACCATTGGAGTATGTTGGATTCAAATATTGATGGATAGACTTGAATAATTAAATCTGCTGTTAAATAAGTATGCGTAAAGTCTGGATAATGACGTAATTCAATGATAAGATGTTGACCTGGTAAAATTTTAAAAATATCGGAAGTATTATTACTCTTTTCATTGTTATTTGAAGCATTTCTTGTTATTGTCATCATAGGCAGTATACATGGATCTATTTTAAAGCCAGCTGTAGTGCATGAAGCTTGTGATGAATACATTGAAGTAGATGATGATAACGATGAAAGTGTAGTTGATATATTTGAATCTGTCAAGTTATTTAGGCTTTTTAGTTTAGAATTTGTTGATGGTAAAAGGCATAACATGAATATATTTAGAGTAACCTGTCCCGTGTTGACTAGAACTAAACGTCGACGTAGAGACAGGTTCACTAGTAGACCTTTATGATGATCTATGTCAGCATGACCAGTGGTTGTTTGATAATTATAGTGATGACTGCCAGATTGTTTATCTTGTCGACTTTGTAACGAGGAGTGTAGACGCCGTACTAAATCCGTGTTCGGAGTTTCACCTACAAAAGACATTTTATTAAAAGAAAAGAAAATTATTAATAACAGGTTATTAATTGAACTAATTATTTATTAATTGACATATATATATATTTCTCGTTTTATTATATGCTAGGGGTTAAGAAAAATAACTCTTATGCAGTTGTCAACGGTGAATATTAAGATAGTAATTACTTAATTGGTTACAGCAAAAAAAACCAATGTTGAACTTAGAACCATACTACACATACATACTTAATCTCTTAAGCTCTTCTGAGGCAAATCGAGTATCATTTCCTAACTACTGGTGATTTGGATTCTACAGGTAGCTAACATATATTCTGTGATATGTTTTTTATAGCTAAATGTTACTGGTTTTTAAAAATGTCCATGAGTGGGTAAGTCAACTATTGGATAGATACCAATTTCTAGTATGCCGGTAGTTGACTACAATTTATTGTACTTTTATATAAATGTCAGTGTACTACTACTAGTCGAACCTAATTAAATAACAACATATCAGTTACTACCCGTTTCCAGTTAATCTTGGTTTAGATTTGTAGAAAAAGAATACACCAGGCTAAAAGTGTGGTGAGAAATAAACACTTTTTTATACATCTAATGATAATCAATTACAAATTCAGTGACTACAGTAAAACAACTGCTATTTGACTGGTAGCTAAGTTTTATAAATCAGTAGGGTGACTAACTTACCGATGAATTAATACAGAACTTACATACAAACGCACCAATACTCAAGTGGCAACAAGTTGGTAAAACACCAGTGTCAGTTGGAAATTTATATACTACTAAATGAATGGGATAAGTAGTTGTATACCACTCACATCAATCAGTAGTGCTTGTTAGTCTGTTTCGCCCACTTGGGGCCGTGCTCATCAGCGGTGTATCCATTTTGACTGAGCTTAGAGGGACGAATCAGCTCAAACCACCCGATTCCTAGCTAGCCACTCATCGCAATCAATCACTAGTATATAGTTTCATGCATTTGTGCTTTGTTTCCTGATTTCCATTTATGGAGTCAAACAAATTACATATTGTCATCTGAATAATTTAGGTTTCCGAAGGAAATTGTAGTGAAGTCTCACCTCGAACTATGTAAATTTCATATTTGATTTACCGGTACACGTGTAATACTTGGGCCGGTGGCAGCATGTAATTCCATATTAATTTGTCTATTAGATATATCACACAGTGAAACAGTATTAATAGTCATATCAGTTGTGATATGATTATGAACAATAAATTGCATTCGAAACGTCATCCAGTAAATAATACTGTTTCACTGTGTGATATGTCTAATAAACTAATTAATATGGAACTGATATGTCGGTAACCGTAATAAAAAGTAAAACTAATGTGGTTTTATGTATTGGACTATGAGCTATCATGTCAATTATACGAGTATTATTAAGGTTACTCGATTTAGCTAGGGAACAGTAGACACAATACGGTTCACACGTATGACCTGTTGAAATTCACAAAACAAAAGGCAGAGTTCGAAATCATAAACCAGTGACTAAGAAGTGTTCAGGCCGATAAATAATAGCTCCGCATTTATGCGAGCGACCGTGTGCAATAAACACTGAGTACGATTCCACAGTGTTGCAGTGAATAAAACAAAGTAGGGCAGAACAAACAAAATTTTGAGTGATAACAGCCTATTAAAAACAAGTAATAAAATTAATTCGAACTTACAGAATGGTCCAATTGATTTCTCAGTGAATTCAAATTTCAATGGTATATATTTGTGAAAATTTTGATCCGTTTTATTGTTATTATTATTCGTAGTAGTAGTATTGAATAAACCAATTAAACTTAAATCTGCTTCATATATAATTTGATCGATTTTCAATGAAGGCGACACATTTTCTTCAATTCCCGATTGTGAGCTACCACTGCCAGCATTGTTATTATTATTGCCAGGTGTAGAACGGACGTATAAATTAAAATTAGGTAAATTACTATGTAATTTCTTTTCAACATCAGTTATTACAACAGATCCTGATGACTGTGATGCAGTTGAAGTTGACACCTTGGCAAGTGTTAAACCAATACGATCTAATTGAACTTCTAACCATATAGGTTCTACAGAAGTTAAATTATTTCTTATCAATAGTAGACTACGAAGAACACCTTCATTATTATTGTTTGGATTGATTGAATATAAGAGATTACTGATAAGTGGTGTGAAAGTTAGACGAAAACACTGTTCCCCACCATCTGGTGCAAGCAGATAACTTGGTGGATAGAAATGATTTAAAATATGCTTAGATTTACGAGATGAACATGAATAAGGCTGGATAGAATATTCTCCATAAGTAGTTGTAAATAACTGAATAAAAACACACAGAAAAATAAGAAGAAAGAAGATTAAAATTTAAAATGGTGGTTATGTAACAATATAATAAGTGAAGTTGAATCAATAGTCTACAGACCATCAAAACGGCTGTCTAATGACGACAACGTTATGAGATCAAATGTTTTAGTTGTTCAGGCCTTTTTATCCAGCTTTCTTTTAGACATCACATGTGACTTCTAATGATGCTGAAATAGGAAACAAGAGGTCACATTTTCTAGTTAACTCACGTAGGGAACTGCTAACATGGCAGGGTAATTGTTCTAATATTAGCATTACTACTACTGTAACAACAAAAGACAAGACACAGAAGCCAAAGGTGTATTTTCAAGTGATCAAACCGGTATATATATATATATATATATATATATATATATATATATATAACGACATGAAATATAATGTTCAAATATACATAGTATTTTGTTGCTAACACAGTATTGAACTGTGGGAATATGTGACAATCATATTCCGTTGGAACACACTGTCAGCAGCACACCACACTACTACTACTAACGATAATAGTAATAATAATGATAATAATGATAGTAATAATAAGGAAAAGTACTTTTCGACAAGGAAAACACAATCCGATTGATAATATAAGTCAGTGTTTCATTGTTGAGCGGTTAACAGAAACCTCATCGTGATATTTCTAAATCTATTTATCCTAGTAAATTGATTATTTCCAGTAGATTGAATGGACTAAATCAACCGAACCACTGGATGATAATGTCCAGTAAACATTCTTCATTTTGAGGATTAATTTTTTGTTCCAAGTTTGATCCTGGATCGATATCTGTTGTACAACCACTGGAAATCAGTGAGTACCGAAAAGTAGTTTCGTCCTTGTTTGGGGCACTATCAGTACACGCACACCATCTAACCGCTATGGACAGAATTCAAGGTCGTTAGGTTACTAAATCAAGCTCATAAGGCTATGCTGACTAGTGACTGACTACAGGGCAAAGTTGTCTAGAGCTATAGTGAGAAATCATGACCAGTGGACTGCATTAGGTCCGGTGTGAAGACAAATACTCACCACCGATAACATTAGCCGGTGGCCGCGGTAAACTAGTGAATTGACAGAAGTTAGAATTTACGGGTCACTGAATTCCGACCCAAGTGGCTGGATCGTCAACGAGCTTGGCATATTAACCTGAAGGTCCCAGGTTTGATCTATAATGGGGTTATGGGTGCATACCTCCGAAACTAGGACGAAAGAGTTATCCACTACTCCCTAGTTTCCCATGGTTCTCCAACTGATATCAATAAACGGTCAAATAAAATTCCTACAAACTAACTCTCGGAAATTAATTTGTTTTATACATGAACCCGTTACACAAAGATATACATACACTATCATAGGTCTTTATATGTTTTCTTTTACCTTTTTGAGTAGGGATTGACTGTATTTTTCCATCGTCTAAGAGTGGTTTAAACCTATTCATCAGTAAAGTTTAGTTCATAGCAGATTATCATACATGCACGATTGATAGAAGCTATTTTCCTATCCGTTGTCTCCATTGTATATTGGTGTGATACGATATATAGCAGTAGATGGCAATAACCAATTATAAGCCGAACAACCTATTCACTTCATTTTTCCCCCAATAACTAGATCTAATCGTACTGGCAAATGTAAACTGATGATGAATGACAATCAGTGTAATGGTCAGGATTAATTTTAAATAGAATATTGGCGAAAAATATCCATCCAGACAGGGAAATAAAAACAAACAGATCATTTAATAACATTATTTTCTTAACTAATTTTTTAAAATTACTCTCTTCACCTAAAACTTAATTTATTTTGATACTTGTCTCCATGATGTTTCGTTAACACCCAATTTTCTCTTTACGTTTTTCATATTACGCAATCTTGGTCAAAACTTATTAATCTTCACACACACACACACCCTAGTAACAATTTGATTATTCGTAACTGTTTGGAAATATTTTGATGACGTCAGCAATACTCTAAACTATTTCTTGTTCTTGTGCTATGTTTGATGGACTGAATGTAAACACTCACACACACAAATAATTATATGTAATGGCAACTATACAGCTAAGCGAGTGAATTCGCCAAAAAGAGTCTTCGTCGAACTGTTTGTTCTTATTTAAATCAAATAGCTAGCCGTACATAGTACCTTCTTTTTAAGTCAACTGATCGAACGTCCTAGTAAACACCAGTAAGTTTCGATTTCATCTTATTACTTTACAAATTTATTCCCTTCATTTGTCATTAACACAATCACCCAATTCTCCACACTGTGCCCTATGTTAATAAACATATACACAAAAAGGACACGAGCCTAAAAGTATCGGCAACGGTTAGTGAAGCTAACATCTCTATTGTGACCAATAATATATATATATATATATATATAACAACTTAAAAGTCAACAACTCACTGAGTCAACCAAACTTCTATTCCTAAAAAGGTGTGTAGTCAACGTTTTTAAATCGTTTAATTGAGTTTCACTTGAAACACAACTATTGTACACTTGACTCCATAATACTGGCTGAATAAATAAAGGTTTCAGTGTTGATTGAGGATTTACAATTTGAAAGATACATTCCCATGAATTTAATGTTCCTGATGAAGACAGTATTGTTGGTATCTGGATTTGACGATTAAATGATGTTGCAGATGGAGACACGAATTCCTTCACTATACACCATGTGGTATTTTTCTTGGATGAGCTGACAGAATGTTTTTGAGAGTTAATCAATTCCGGCCAGATAAAGTGAATAGATAAATCACTATGAAAGGTGACATTCAACATTTCATAGCTTAAACTAGCTGTGATATTTTTAAGATTACGAATATGACTACGACTGTTACTATTACTATTATTATTATTGTTGTCCTTCACTGGATGTTTGGAAAGATCGTTAGTAGTAAAGTACTTTAACCACCGATTATGAAGTTCACTATACACTGAAAATGTTTCTTTGATTAATGAATAATTTATACGATGCTGAGGATCACTTTCATTACTACAGTGATTGGTCTTCTCATTAGTAGAACCTTTTAACCATAATCTCCCTGTAAAAAGACAAATGAAATAAAATAAGTCAAATAGGTAATTGACAAAAACAACACACACAAACACACTGAACAATAGATAACAAAAACAAAACTTTAGTACACATATTCGCACTCTGTTTGTTGTCGATTCCAACTAGTCGGTATCGGATTTCTAGTCTGGAATTTCTCCACCAACTGACCTACAAAACCCAACTGCTTTAATCATCATTTGTTACATCGATATCTCAGTCCATCAATTCAAGACTATCTTAAATAGTCTCACGGATAACTAAGCTGTATATGAAAAAATATGCATGCGATATACATCAAAAAGACAGGTCAGCAGAGGATATTTTCTGCGTAACTTCTTATCAAAGTTGTGCAGTTATATAGTGTCCTGAAAGCTCACAGAGACGCTTATAAAGGTCAATTGTTAATGTTAGCTGACAACAAAACATGAAATCACATATGAGCAAAATAACTTAGTTAAAGAGTCCTATATAATCTAAAAGTAAAAAGTGCTGAATATCGTTCAGAAGCGACTTTCATTCAAATTGTAAGCGCTTAGAAAAGGGAATATTCTTCATAAGAGTCACACATTCAGAATACATATCAATTCTATTTCAAAGTTCGTAGTTTGAAAAGAAAAAATAAGGAAAAACGACGGAATATGAATTGCATACCAGATTAGTGTACAAGTTTCAAAAAGCTGAAGGCCATGGAAGCAAATAGGACTGAAAAAAATATTTTTTAAAAACGACTTAACACTTATGTACCCCATAATGGTACATAATACTACAGTCAAGTTTCACAGTCACATCATAATACAAGAGAACACCACAGAGGACACTGGCTTTTTGTCAGACAGAAAGATAATCATTGTTACATATGATACGAAAACCAAATGTCACATAAATATCTATCACTGATTAGTGATATATATATATATATATATATATATATATATATATATTAGCAGTATATATATAGGCTGACCGGTAGTCGTTTCTCAGCTAGATACTGTATACAATGCGTGTCAAACCATTTTCAAATTAGGAAGATAAACAAATATGTAGAGACCTGATAACTTTATGATTCCCAGAATCCGTTAAAGGAAGATTAGTTGATTAACAGGCTCTCATTTAGACCTAAAACTCTCAAGTTACAGTTAAGCGACAGGATAAGCACGCTACAGACTCCTGAAATGTTGGAGTCGGATTGATTTACGTGTAGTTATCACAAGAAGATTCCAATCCTTGTTTCTACAGTAATGCAGTTTATTTTATCTCGTTTAAAATTTCAGTACTCTTTTCACAACAATAATATCAATCTTGAGATGGTGACAAAAATCCTAAAAAAAGACGCCATTATATAAATAGTTTTGAAATGAGAAGAATTTGGCTAACATATGATGAGTAGAATTCAACTGGTTGGATCATCTGATGACGTCATTTTGTCTAGAACAATTAAATGGAATATATCCTGTTATTGGCGAATTATTGATGATTAATGCAATTTCGGTAAGAAAAGTGTTGGCATTGAAAGAAAATACTGCAAAAGATTTGCATTATTTTTTTCCAACCAACTTTGTTAGTAAAATATGGCGACCATAAGCATGATTTCACAATTGTTGGCAAGGTATTTTCAGTAAGAAAAATGACAAAAACCTCGCCACTCGATGGTAAACCATGGTAGTTTTCCTGCTTCATGAATTTATTTTATCACAGATGTTATGTTACTCAACAACCAATTGCGATTCCATGCAGTTGGCAATAAACCACACCTACTGTGTGAGTGCTATCAGTACTGTGTGGTTGCTCAAACCTCGGATGTCGAGTGTCATTTGAATGTTCGCCCCAGTGCCTAGACAAATGAGCCACAGCTCCACTTCATCAAAGACAGAGTATTTCATGTCACTTAGGAGGTCATGTTCAATGATATTTCACAGGTCAGTAAATTGGGGATTACGAGGATTTCTCCTTAGGTGAATGTGCAGCTAGATGCTCGATTTCCTTCCTTCTTCTTCTTGGTTGACTTTGACTATAATATTGATGTTCCTAATACTGTAACAACAGAAGACAAGGGCCAGGCAACAGATCGGTTTATTAAGGAGATCAAAGCATATTTATACATTTTCATGTACATTATTATATATTACTTTAAGCAACCAAACACAGTCTTCTGATTGGTTGTTTCTCGCTTAAAGTTAATCTTTCATCTCTTTGTGACTGTTTCTTCAATGTCAGATCATCTATATGTTAACTGTATCCGCCTACGCAAAGTCTGCTGTGGTCGGTTTTTGAATCAGTCTTGTTCGTATTTTCTCACAACCAATTTTGAGAACGTAAACATTGACGTCAATTACCGTCTACCACTTTGGCTAGTAGACAGCTCTCACCACAAAACTACTACTGCTGCTGCTGCGGTTATTGACTCGATTATCATCATTTCTATTACAGTGCATTAGAGAGGTTTTTTGATAGCTTTTTTTTAAATTAAGTTAGTTTACAGATGATATCGAAAATTATGCGCCTGTGAATTTCATTAGTGAAAAAATTACATATATATAATGAAATGAAACAGAATTTTACCTACCTGGTGACGTATCCAAGCTAAAGCCACAATAACAATACTGTTTAACAGCCTGGGAAGTTATGGAGGCAGTGGTCAGATTGGTAGTTGTTACGGAGTGATCCATACAACTCTCAGAAACGTCGAAATTAACGGTACCAATCAACACAGATTGATTTGGTGAAAATGTAATCGGCTGTATAGAATGTATTGTCAAATTCGAATCGTTGTCAATCTCTTGTTTAATATTATGAAATTTAACAACATCTTTTGTAAAATCATTATCGATTTTACTCAAAAGGAAATTTGGTGGATGTAACTGGACTTTTGTTATATTTATATCAGTAGAATAAGTATTCTGAACGATAATGTTGCGGTGAATACTTCTCCCCTAAGATAAGTGAAAAAATAAGTCAATGCCAAAATGAAAATTCAAATAAATACACGCTCTAAAGAAAACTGAATACTGAATAAATAAGCTGCCAAATAAAACTAAGTTATTGAGATTTCGATTGACGATAAAATTGATTTTGCGATTGATATTGATATAGCTTTTGAAAACCAATCAGTGCTGGATAAAAGTGTTGTTCTAAATTGGAACATATTTGAACTACAAATCACAGATCCCACGAGAGAGTGAGTGTAAAGAAATTATGTTACAAGACGCATCACTTTATTACTCTGTTGATTTGTAATATTGACGGTGACCAAGTCAATATTGAAAACTGTCAACAGACAGCAATATTCTAATTGTGCGTCGGAATACAAGAATCATCGACGTATGCCCTCGTAAATCTCCCATACAACTGATTCTCATACGACTACTTTCCAGCTGTTAGCCAGTGAAATAGAACTACATTACGTATGTTAAAGGAATTTAGTGAATAACATCAGTACTTACGCAAGAAGTCAGCTTATAGAGATTACGAATATACCTGTGATTAGAAAGTTGCACATATGTTGAAGTTATTCCATGTTTTGGTTGGTGGTAACTAAAAGTGGAGTCCAAGATGAGCATTTCTCTCTGTTTGGGACTCATCAACTTGTGGATGTACCAGCATTCCCAAAGAGTGATAGTGTGTTCTTACTTAGACCCTGCATCAATCGTTTCAAACGCCAAAGCACTACCACCCACAGGACCGCAAAATCAACCACTTGCGCAACGGGTGGTACCGGTTATTTATTTCTTAGAATATTATGCATTTTCCGTTTATTGATCAGCCAGAAAATAACTCCACGTTAATCGTACGACATTATGGAAGCAGACATGTCGACAGAGACCTAAACTGCGTTCCAAGGGGAAATGCAAATTAAACCTAATAACAAATTAGTTCATGTTACTTCTTTAGTAGAGCTTTAAAAAAATTATTATTAAAGATAACATTATCCTCAATGGTTTTCCTGATTGCGGTAGACTGTATAGTGCGACAGACGGCGGGCAACGAGGAGACACGCACAAAATGGACCCACACAAAAAGCTTGCAGGATCTGGACTTCGCCGATGATATTTGTCTGATTTCCCACAAACTGGAAGATATGCAAGTGATGAAAAGCAACAAGTTAGCAGAAGATGTATCCAGAGAAGATAGGCCTCCAGGTGAACATAAAGAAAACAGAGGTAGGTGATGAAGATTCCTGGCCAACAGCAACAACAACAATCAGCATGAATGGGGGGAGTCCGAAAGAAGCAACCTCCTTTACCTGCCTGGGAAGCATCGTTTCAACTACAGGCGGAACTGACGAGGATATCAAAGCGAGAATCGGAAAAGCAAGACAAGCTTTCACTACTCTCAAGACTGTGTGGAAATCAATAGCAATCAGCATGGAAAATAAGATCCAGAGTTCCAATTCCAATGTGAAGTCAGTGCTACTATACGGATCAGAGAATCTGTGCGCGTCACGAAGCGCACTTCGAACGAAATACACACCTTCATCAATACTCAAGATTAAATGGCCAGCCAGAAAAGATGAGCAACATGGATCCCTGGGAACGAATGGATCAACCCAGCAGGAACCAATTGAGCAACAAATATGCAGGAAGAGATGGAGGTGGATTGGCCATACTCTGGGGAAACCATCAAGTGATATCACACGCCAAGCCACCACTCAACTAGAGCCCGAATGAGAATCGGCGAGTTGGTAGTTAGTGCGAGGGTGACATGGAGGAGGTCATGCGAAGAGGAGATGAAAGCATGTGGGCATATGTGGAGCCAGGTGAAAACTTTGGCGGAGAACCGCATGCAATGGAGACGTGCGGCTAAAGCCCTATGTTCTCCTAGGAACTAAAGGAGACAATAATATAATAGCAATAATTAATGACAACATTCTCATTGTTGTTCTGGTTTCTTGGAGACAGTGTAGAAGAATTAGAAAGCCATTCAAATTTTCTTTCCGTTTAACACGTGAGCACACGTTTCAAGTGAGTAGAAAGTTTCTTAGCTAACGAAATACTCTACTTATAAGTAGCTCAAATATTTTGAATCCATTTTTACCATATCTCAGGTGATAATAACAAATCCATTAGTTTTCAGCAAGAATGTCGGTAGTAATAGTGCAAAAGGGGTAGAACAATTAGGGGAAATTAACGAAAAGAAAAGCAAACAAACAAATGAGAAGTGGAAAAATACATGACATCATCACAAGATTTAAATGAAAACTCAATTAATATCATATGTATACAAAAAGCTGCTTACAGGAAATAAATTATTCACAATCAGTGGATCAGGTGTCACAACAACTCGACCATGTGTAATATAGCATTCAAAGTTTTGTCTAAGTATCTACGAAAATCAATATTTTTTGTTTAGGAATTAAAAAAACAACACAAATTATTCAGATTAGAAAGTGAAAAAGTAGTAGTAACAGTATTAGTGGAGAAATGAAATAAAAGTAGAAATAAACATATTCTGAAGTTAAAACAAGACATATATGCAAACAATATTGCTTATAAGTAGATTTTATTCAGGTTTTCCTCTAATGTGCATAGCTTCATATATAGAAAGAGTTGTTCCTGAAGCTCCAATTCAATGGTGACGTAACTAGTGAGGCCCCACATCTAAGATTAATTAGAGCCATAAAACGGAATTATACTTCACCACCCTTTGTTTACCGTTTTCCAACAAATCAATTATGACTGCTCAAGTGATGAAAGATAAGATACTCAGCTGTGTCATTTTTATGTGCATCAGCGAGTTTAGCTGCTCCTATGGAGAATGTTATGTAGGGTGAACAACTAGACAGTTTAATAAACACATTATTGAGCATCTTTCTTCATGGTTCAGAAAAGGCCGAACAAAACGTATAAGAAGATCTATGTCACCCCCATTTGATTAATAGAAGTCACTAAGTGAACAGAAGAAGTATTTCCAAGACTATTCATTGCATTCCATAAAGCCTTTCAAACGGAACTCGTCTTCCACATATAGCTGAGGTTATGGGAATTCGACAGAACGAACTTAATTTTTGTATACAAAAGAAATTCGTTCTACCTTTGTCTTTCTCTTGTCCTAGGTAAATTTAATCGAATAATTAAAACTTCCGATCTATTGTTATTCTTCCCTTCTTTCTTACTTTAACTATTTTTATTTAAACTTCAATTATCGATCCACTTCATCTTTTGGTATTACGCAACTTCTAGCTCTATCAAACTCCAACCAAATTATGTCATTGAATAGATCACATTACCATACTTTCTTTATTACTTTTATCACTACCTCAGTCAGTAACTTGCAATTTTCTGTTTATGACATTTGTGGGTATTCCGATTAATTTCAGTTGTTATATTTCGTCACGAACCAACATCCGTTAGGGAGATCATTGAAAATCAGTGAGCATTAGACAGTTATTTAATCCCATTTCGGGACTCTTCGGACGTGCGAAACCACCACAGATCAAACCCGAGACCTTATAATAATAATAACATCTTTATTCTGGACAGTATTTATAAAAATGTACAGAATTTTCAGAGGAGTTTATTGCACTATATTTCCGCTTCGTACAATATCTTCAAGTAAAATATTAATCAACAGTATATCCTGTGACACAATGGTCCGTGAGTTGAAGGACAAACTATTTCATTATGATATATCTGCTTTGTCTCCGTCAAGAAATCCGCGACATCTCGTTGAAAGCTAATTGTGAGGTGGACATTTTGACACCCACGGACATAACTGAAGCACAGTTATCTCATGTACTGGAATACGTCGCCACCCACAATCAGGCCATTCCTCAAGTTTAGTAGGAACTTGTTATTCAGAAGCTTTTAAACATTTTAAATACACACAGGAGTAGATAATACCACTAGAAGTCATTTGTCAATCGATTAAAACAAACTGTACAAGGAAAAATATGTTCAATAGAGAGAAGTTTTTGGTAGCCCAAGTTTTAAGCAGGCCACCAAGCGGCTACGAGACCAAGGTCTTTGACCATTCAGCCACTTGGACTGGAATTGAGTGGCTTATGAATTTTAACTTTGTAAAATGGTGACAGCGCATTACACACACCAGTGCCTTTGGTGCATCAACTTCTCATATTTTACTGTCACTGACCGTATTATGTCATTGTTACTGCTAATATTATAATCGTCGTTATTTACCGACATATTGACAACAAAGTTGACGTTATTAGTTAAAACATTTTTATGTATAAAGCTATGTACATAAGAGTACAACCTGAAAATCTAATTGAAAACAATAATTTTTCGCTTATATGTCCTGTTTTAATTTTAACAACGGGAATACTTAATGATATTCCCAAGTGAGAAAAAAATGGCACATTATCTGACAATTATTTCAGCTAAAAAATCATGATATTCAGCCTTTTGATACTTTTAGAATAAGAATTCTCCAGCGCATAACAATATCGTTCTGAATATTAAAACACATGTTATCTTCGCTCTTTTATAATTGTAATTTCAGTTAGTCAACAGTTGATGAGAAGCTGTGAGGCAAAATAATATTACTTTAACCTGTAAATTTGGTCTAGTTTTGTTTTGTCTAAATAAAACTAACATTTACACACAGAAATATATTTCTCAAAGTATTTTATTAAATGTGATTGTAAATATGAGTAAATCTAAACTACTCATGGTATCAGAAAGACTACCATATATGGTGTTAAGTGACTCTACATATCAGTCGATTGTGATAAAAACGTCAATTATCGCTCTTTGGATTACCAACAGATGTTCTTAATGTGAACAGCAAAATAATTAGTCCTTACAGACATGTGCTTTCGACTGACAGACTGTAGATGGCGTGCACAACATGATAACTAACAAACACGCTATACCGGATGAAGAAAATGAAGAGTTACATTTCTTTACCTTAATGAAAACAAAACGTTATGATTATGGAAATGATAGGACAATAACTCAAAACATTTATCACAGAAAAACAAACAGGATAAGTGAAAATAAACTTTACAGAAAGATGAATAGTGCATCGGTAGATTACAGATTATCACATCTGAATGAAAAAGCATTCTACAATACCTAATGATTATCTTTCATGTTAAGTGGCAACGTCTGATGAGCAATATTAAAGCTGAGCGTAGAGTACTAGGTATGAAAGAGAATACTGCTGATGCGACTGAAAAGCTGTATCAACTGAAATGGCTAGGACACGAGTTGCGTTGGTCGAGCCGCCACTTTCTTTGTCTGGGAATATTAGCTGACATAGGATTAGGCTGGAGCAGAGTAAGGAGTGGTTGTATCAAATTCTGGGATCAATCCATGATATCTATGACAGTAGGTTGAGCCAGTCACGTAGGGAGGTTGTGATCTTCGAGGTGCTGAGAACTAATTGCTGGAGACTGTTGGTGATACGACTCAATGGTTCACTCTTTTACCCTCTAATATCCATTAAATCCTCATGGTTTTTTCCATGTTACTATTCGTTCTCCTTCAAATTTCTGCTTATTATAGATCTTCTGAATCTCTTTTCTCATCTTTGTGCGATATGTGTAGTGTGATAACTTGAAGTGTTGCACTTCTACGCAAAGTTCTATGTTGAAACTCGAATCATTCAGTTAGCCAGTCAGAGGGAACAATGCAATTAAACAATTCGGTGTGGTAACTCCTCTTATAAGTTACACAGAATAATTTATTGAAAAATAATTACACATGCCCTAGATTTCACTTTCTCTGATTATTTTATGGTTTCTAATATTACTTACTGTCTAAACGTTTCAAGAATGGCAGTAATGGTTACTAGTTAAATTACTTTAAAGACTGGTCACGTAGTTATACATGTAAATATCACGTTTGCTAAGCTGATGAAAACAATAAAAACAAGAGGCATTGAAATAACGGAGGAGATTTTTAGCCAAGGTGAATGATTTTCGATTCGTTGTGTTCTCTGAGCCAGTTAATTTAACTGCGTCTAGAATGATGACAAAAGCTCCGCAATTAAATCAACCAGCTTAGAGAACAAAACTAATTCAAAAAAGGCATTTTCAAAAAAGTATACAAATATATACATAGTTACAAAACAGCTTTTGTTGATAAGGTCATATTTTAAGGAGATAATCTATATTCAAGATTAAATTCAACAGTTATTGCCATCTAAATGATGTTATATCAAACTTTCTAACAGTGTGATATTAACTGGCGGTAGCACTATGAGCCAAAAATCAGTAGACATTAGAATTTATGAACCAGCTATTGGATTTTATCCAATTGGCTGAGTAGTCAGTGCGGTCGCCTCACAACGTGAAGTTCTTGGGTTCAACCTGTACCGGTAGGGTCTCAGATGCGCAAACTGCTAAGGGGTGCTAAACTATTCAGTATTTCCTGATTTTCAGTGGTTCTCCATGGCTGATATCAGTTTATGATCAAAACTTGAAGCTATTCAAATCCATTCCAAGTCAATACTTAAAAATTACTAAGAAATGATTAAGCATATTTAAATAAAATATTACAGATGAGATAATTTTAAGCTGATGCCAGTATGAATATTATGATTATTTAATTGTAGTCACGATCTAATCAATAGGGTGAAAGATGACTACTTCTTTAGGTGGCACCACGTCTGTTTATTGCTACTTCTTTTAATTAGAAATTAATTGATTAATTAACTGATAATGAATGTAATTAACCGGAGAAAATCATTTCAGACATATATATATATATATATATATACATATATATATGTATATGCGCGTTCAAAACACGATACTATTTTCTTTTTCATTTAAGCATATTGATTAGTAAAGTTTGATTATTTTCCGTACACAAAACTAATTAAAACAGTACTTTCATTTAAAAAGTATCAACAATTAGAAAGGAATTTTATTTTGGCCACAACTGACCTAGATTATCTTTTAGTCATATGATACATTGGTGGTAATTGTGGTGTGCAATTGAACAAGAATAAGAGGTTGTCGTGAGAGAAAACAAACTACTTGGTGCAGTACAGCACATATAGACAACAGAATCATATGAACACTACATTAGTCTGTTATATAGTGATTCCTATTATTATCATTATTAGTGTCGGTACAATCGAGTTTAATCAATAGGAATGCTGAAGCATGACTGAAAAATGAATACAATGGAACATAGACAACCAGGATGACAGTCATAATAATAATGACTACTGTGAAAAAACAAAAAGAATGACTTTTTATTTACCTAATTGATAAGGTAGAACTGCTGAATACTTTGTTTACAGTCTGAAAGTTTAGTCAAAAACAAACAAAACATAACGAAACAACGGCGACAGAGTATGTGTGTGAGTGACACAGAGGAAGGCACGCAACACATGCATACCTTTGAGCAAAGATAACATCGTCTGTCGTTATTATTATTATTATTATTATTATTTTATCACAAGCGGCAGAAAGGTATTCTTTTATTTCAAAAAGTTTCTTGTTTGTTTTTTGCTATTACAAAAACAACTCCGTTGTTTGTCTCTTGGAAATTGATTAATAATTTTCAAGGGTGATTTATCTCTTGTCTATAGAATTTTATTAATTTTTTTTGGTAAAAAGAGAAAAAATTAAACTGGCGGACTGTTTGAATCACAGAGGTACGTGAATTTCTATCCAACACAATGCATCATATTTTCCCTAATTCTTATTGTTTTAAGTATTCAGTTATGTCACTGAGACACAAAATGTACTGACGCAAATTTCCAGTCGGCTTCAAAACTACTGATGCTCAATTTTCAAAGATGAAGGGGAACTATCATAAGGGCTTAGCTTATGCTTAGGAATGAACGCCATTACGTCACATATACTATAGATAGGTGTTTTATTTAAAGATTCAGAATGAAGAGAAAGTACTATGCAATACACTACGTTGAGAATTCTGTACACTGTGTAAACATTTTGTTCAGAATAAAGCCATTATTGTTCTCTACACTACATTTAGTGAAGTTCATATGTATAATATACTGTCGATAGTAAATTCGCCAGCTATACAATATTGATAGCAATTAAGAGGAAAAAAACAATTAAAAATGTGACTAGTTTGACAATAATTAATTCATAGATCCCAGTGTTACTTTAAATTATACACTTCTCAAAGTGCTAATGAAATCCCATCAATCAGATTGACTACTGTTCGTAAAACTGATTATCAGGAATTTTTAACAACTGTAATCAATAAATTGAGTAAGAGGGAATAAACATAAAACTTAGGTTGACATAATACCTATCACTTTAAAGATATCTACCTGAATTTAAATACAGATAGGTAGCTAGTACTTATAGAAGGATTGCTATTTATGACTGGACTCCATAAACGATGTCGTACAACTGAAGTACAACTCCGGTTTTCCTCTCGAAATCCTGTCATGTGACCACGCGTTCCAAGCCTCCATCAAGTAAATCTTGTTTACTGTCTTCATGAGTCTCGACTGAAAGGGTGAATCCAAACGTCTGGAGTTTACACCTCTACTGGTAGGTATACAAGTCTACCTAAAGAAACCACCAAAACCCTGATTCCAAAACCACTGGTTTACATGGGATCCAGAATGCGAAAGGATCCAATGGCGTATCAACATGTTTTGGTCACTGGAAACCATGAGAACATAGCTACTAACGCTTCTCCACTGTCTTGTGGATCAGACTTCAAGTCAAAGTCTCGAGGAGTGAGTGGTCCTTTAATACAACCAGCTGCTGCGGTGTGGGTGTCCGGGCAGTATCCTATCCCTCGGACAAACTGTGCGATTTCGTTTGATGCATCTCTTAGTGCTTATACTGAACGAAGTTTGTTTTACATAAATTAATAAAATGGTTTATGACTCATGCAAATGGTTCCTTTGAAAAGTCACAGTAAAGAAACAATAACAAAAAGGGCTGACAAAGGAAAATAGATGAAGAGCGCAGTATTTGATGAAAAAAGTGCATCAATTCAAGTTGCCAGAATTCATAAGATCACAAATGAAGGCAGACAAGAGAAATACAATGAAACTACAACAAACGAAAATGTACGGAAGAAAGAATAATTACACAAAGAGTAACGAGAATTTTCAGAATCTGCAAAATCTTAAGTAGTCAATACATTTGCACTACAGAGGACGATTTTGAGTCATTCCCCCAACGGTCTCCAAGCATTGATTCTTAGCATCCAGTGAATCCAGACAGGGAGCCTACACCATACTATGCAGCTTAAAACAAAAGTCAAAGACTTCATGGAGTGATGATATATTTTCATTTGACTAAAGCTAAGTCTCTTCCAACCTAAACCTACACCACCTAAAAATAGTCGTCAAAGGAATACGGTGACTGGGTATGAGTAATACATTTCTAAACGATAGCAACCAAAGCAGTCATACGAATCCTCCAAAAGAACCATTACAGGAGAGAATTATTGAGGCTGAAACTTAATGGAAGAATCACACACATGTACTGAGAATCATAAGCTAAATATACTATTAAGTTAGCTTTTTATCCAACTTTTTTTGTCACAACCTGCTTTGATAATTGGCACACGTGTCTGAACTAATTAAGGAAGAATCTAGCTATATATGGAATAAAGGGTACATTTGAGTTCACACTGAAAAACGGATGAAGCCACTCCAAAAGAAAAGTTGACAGTTTCCAATTATATAATAACAAATGAAGTGTGACATTCTCATGTGGAGGGTGGGGTTGAGGAAACCGAGAGTATGCAGTTTTAATTAGACATCAAAGTTTATCATCAGTCAGTTAGGGTGACAATCGAAAATCAGAAGGCTCCGGGTTCGAACCCTAGCGGTGGGTGCGTAACGACAAAGAGTCTCAAACTAGGACGAAACGGCTATCCAGTACTCCCAGGTTTTACAATGGCTTTCTAACCAATGTCAGCCCACGATGAAATCCTGTAACCAATCAAATCAAATCAAATCCCTGCAAACCAACACTTGAAAATCGAAAATCACTTTGACAAAATCAAAGGGTTTGAGAGAAAAAAACCCTACCGGTAAAGATTTGAAATACAGCATAGACATTTTTGGAGCATTTAAGGTAATCAGTAGGAAGAACAGTGATAAACTGCAAAGACAATCCCTATTGGAAGAATAAAACCAAACTTATTCATGTGTTCGACAAGCTCACCTCATAAGTGAAGCTCCTGGGTTCAATCGCCAATGGGGTCATGAGTGCGTACCACTGAAAAGTTCCAGGCTAGAACAAAACAGTTGTCTTAGTTTTCGTTGATTTTCAATGGTTCTCTAACTGATATCAATCCGTGGTCAGAACTTGATACCAATCAAGTCCCTACGAACTAACATTTGAAAATTAATTTGATGCCCATCAGTGACGGACTATCAAATGCAGTTGGCTGGAGTTCTGGTTAGACGTAGTGATCAGTAGGGGCAACCAGGTAGCGTGTGAGGACATTGGCTGACAGTGGAGCTAAAAAGCCAAGGATGATGGCAGTTATAATTCATGTACGGTATGATCACCTCATAACTTGAAAGTCCCTGGCTGTGGGGTCATGGGTGCTTACTGTCGGAGAGTTCCAAGCTAGAACGAAACGATTGTTCAGTACTTCCTGGATACCAATGGTTCTCTAACTGATATCAGTCCGTGATCAAATCCCTACAACTTCCTTGTTACACTTACGAATTTAGATTTCATTTTCTTTACATTGCTTAAATACAAGACTTTTCTCCCTCATTTCATTCTCTCTTTAATGATTACAAAATCAATTAGTAACTTATTCCCTTATAATACCTAACTGTTTTGACCTTATTTATATTTCATGTTTATGTATATATATATATAATCCTCTTTATTTTGTTTTACTATTTCTCCAACGCTTCAAGGTAATAACGATGCAGTTGTTAGGAAAATTTTTCATACTTTTATATTAGAACTGGTATTTTATAGCACTTTATGGACTTCCAGTACATTTGTATTTAAATGTTAAGGCGGTATTATTTTTAGTTTTATTCTTAACCAGAATACAAATGCTTACGTTCTAACTTCCGAGTTAAGTGCTATAGCACGGTGAGTAATATTGAGATTAAGTGTAGAGTTTTAAGTAAGGAAGGGAAGTCAATCGATGAGATTGTGAAGCTACATCGATTGAAGTGGCTAGGACATGTGTTTAGCATACCAAGCTACTGCCTTCCGCAATAAGCAGCATTATCTACAAAGAATAGGTTGGGAAAGAATTAGGAGTGGTCAGTTGAAATCTTGGGATAAACCCATAAAGTTTTCGACTATTGATTTGAACCACTTAGAGAAGTTTCCTATATTCATTAAACTCTTGTGGTTTTCCGCACATTCCTGCTTATTAAAACTGTCTTGAACCTCTTCTTTCTCTCTTTTCTCTACTTTTGTTTGGAAACTTGAAGTGGTACATTTCTGCGCAAAGTTCTATGCTCAGACTCAGTCAGTCAATCATGCATACATCAAGTAAGGCAATAAATGAAAGCGAATAGAATATTTATAAGCTCTATCATCTCAATGTGAATGACTTGTTTTGGTGGTGGCTAGCGGAAATTCCAGGGTGCTCGTTTCGTACCTAATGGAACTCATCGGCTGGATGTATTTGCATCACCCTGTAAGTAATAGTGTTTCCACTTAGAAACTCCTCCCCAGCACCCATTATTTGAAATATCAAAGCGTCATCCATCCACTAGACTACTCAAACACGATAGCCATCTCCAAAGCAAGTAACTACTTGTTAAAAAGTCACAGGGATATCAAGGTAACCATTCAAAAAGGCAAATAAAGTGAGATTACCAAAGGTTATGGAGCCTGACTAATACTAATTAGACATACTTTATCTTCATACAAGACTTTATCGATTACCACCAGTCAACTGAATACCTACCTAAGTACTTATTCTTGTATAAAAACCAATAGAACTAAAATAGTGATCTAAGATGAAAAAAGTCTATACACACACACTTTCAGAAGAAAGAATGGGAACACAGAGAAAGGTATTTAACCTACCTCATATTTCGAATGAATCCGTATAATGCCTTTGATATGCTGAGTTACTTTTTTACTACCCCATTTAAGAGGAAGATTAAATTCAGATGATGGTGGCATCTCATCCTAATGAAAGTGAGGAAAAAAAGAAACAGAAACAAATAAAAAATAAAAAAATTGAGAGGGGAAATATCTTAAAATTTTCAACTGTCAATATTTTGGTTTTACACTTTTTTTATTACAGCTTGATTCCACACCGTATTTTTGGTACAAGTATTGAATTACCAACATGTGATATCGGTAGCCCAAATTTTGCAGGCCGACCATTGATATCAGGTGTGCGTCGGCAGGGGGTCGAACCCCGGACCATGTGCATGGTCAGCGAGAGCCACAACCACTGTGCCACTGATCGCTTTGTTCAGTTACTTTATGCAGTTCAAAAGATTCAGATGATCTATAAACAGAGTAAAAGTTGAGGATATAAACAGCTCATTGTGCCATCTATGATGAAAAGCGAAAAGCTTAAAAATAAGCCGGTTGAAAGAGCGGAGATTTGAAGAGTAATAAATAAAAAAAATAATTTTTTTATTCCTACCAAATTCAGGATAAGTAGTTAGGAAATAAGAAAAACAATAAACATAGCAATGACTCCACCTGAGAGAAAATCAAACTTCTACCTTTTAAATATTATATATATGTAATCTGAATCTGTTATTGTTATGGTCGAAATTCGTGTTCCTAAGCCCATATAGTTTTAATGAAAATCACTTCTGAAGGATATTCACCACTTTATGCTTTTCGATTGCGTAAGACTAGTTGTATATATCCAAACCAGGTTCACTTTTAACAGTTTAAAAAAATTTGGGCATTGATATTCATTATTATAAAAGCTTTTTACTGGTTGATCACAGATTGAAATCAGTTAGATAACCATTGAAAACCAGGGAGTACTGGACAGCTGTTTCATTCTAGTTTGGGAATCATCGATAGTAGGCACCCACTGGGGTTCGAACCCAGGACCTTCCGGTTACAAGACAAGGTTGTATACCATTCAGTCACTGGAACTCGATTCAATGGCTCATGAATTCTAACTTCTACCAATTCGTGATTTAGCGCGACCCTTAAGAATGTCATCGGAAGTTCCTGGGTTCGAACACTGGCGGTGGGTGCGTACTACCGATGATTCCCAAACTAGGATGGAACAGCTGTCCACTACTCACTGGTTTTCAACGGTTCTCAAACTGATATCAATCCGTGATCAACTCGTAAAAACAAAACTAATCCTTACAAACCAACTAAAGAAAATAAATTATTTTGTATTTTCCAATGGATGAAAAACAAAACGATTTGGTTTTACTGAAGTTTCTCTATTTAATGCTAATAGCTTTAGTAAACTTTTATAAAACCAGAATTTACAAAATCACAGCTTATATACAACAACTTAGTCATCGTTCATCAGCATGGAGTAATTTTCACGTTGTCAAGCTGGCCAATTGGTAGAGATAATAAAACCATGAGTAGATTGTTGGATTTGATAAGCGTATACAATTATAAGAGCAACATGTGCTGACATAATGGAATTGCTTATCTCATTCGTGTTGGTTTTGCCATTTCATCGTGGAGGGGGCGGGGTGTTGTAACCAGGTTAAATTCTGTTTTAGTCCTTCATTCCTATTCGGACAATTGGGATTCCATTTGACGTGAAGTGCTTCTGATGTTAGACGGTCTTTGTGATTTCTGAAATTTTTCTGGATTACTTCAATACTGTCAAAACAATTTTGTGACCTGATTCTATAGCGCGTACACCTACAGCTGATGATTTTTACAGCTTTTCTAGTTCAACTGGACTTCTCGGTGGTCGAATAGATGGTTATTGGGAAATACAAAATCCTTTATAATTACGTAAGACTACTCAACTAATTCTCATAATCTATCCGTGAATTTTCCCGATATGTTAGCTAGTATAAATCGTTACCAAATGACATTAACAATCGACCTTCATTAACATTTACATGACATTTCAGAACACCATATAACAAACTGTACAGCTTTGATAAGAAGTTACGCAAAGAATATCCTCTGTTGACCTATGCCTTTTTAATTCTATATTCGATAAGTTTGTTTCATATAATACACACATATACAGTACCAATGACTGGATGAGGTAGTGACCACAATTTGTTATTCATAAGCATATCTATGTATTCTATTCACACGTCTTCGTAGCGTGCTTTACATGGTTTTTTAATTCCACTTGTTGTTTTTTTGGTGAAAAGTTCCATATGTCGAGTTCAGTACTGCATCATCTCTGTTTTATTGTATTTGATGTTGACTCAATGATTCAGATGAATTACAAAAGAGGTCAAACTAGATAGATTATCAGAACAGAGGAGTTTAGCCTAGATCTAAAATGGCTGATCCTGCTTAGTTACGTAGTTTATGCATGTACAGATATGTGATCGCACAATAAGGTTAGATAGGATAAAAGAATTAAAAAGTAATATATTTAGATGGAGAGAGGTAAATTACCAAAATCTTTGGTGATCGAGTCAACACGAAATACGCACAATAGAAATTACGGAAGAGTTATCTTGGATATGTGCAGAACTGCGTTCAAAAACTGAATAAGGCAAGTTATGAAGTTGTAGGTGTATACGCGTTGATACGATTGTAAGCAATAAAATGGTGCTAACAACGTCATCTAGTTATTAATAAACTGTATCACTGTGAATTAAGTCTAAATAAATCTGTTCAATAATATGGAATAATTGTTCGCGAATTACAACACAATATCTATTTTTGTCATTCATTTTTGAATACATTAAGTCTTATAATAACATAAAGAGGATTACTATACAGTATTCTTCTAATTCTTTGGTAAATAACCGTATATACCACTAGACTAGCATACATTACAGGCTATAATTCATATTATATCAATCACTTAAATAGTTAACAAATACTCCAAAGTATTTTATTCCAGATCATCTAACATCAAGAAATGGTATAGTCAATTGTGTCAATAGTTTTTCAGCAAATCAATATTGTTAAGTATTATTTAACCAATGCTTTGCATACTATTTTGTAACGTGTCTCTTTTCATTGACACGTCGGTTAGCTTTGAAATAAAATCAGTTAGACAATTCAGTTTTAAAATGTTATCTTTTATTTTACTAACATAAAAAAATGACATGAATATTTTGCAGACTGACACAAACGAATTCATAACACCAGGATAAGCTTTCAGCTAAACGTGTCGATTGTGAGTATATACACTGTATATATATATATATATATATATATATATATATATATATATATATATATTATAAGAAGGAGAGAAGAACATACCGCCAAATTGATCACACAATGTTGACAGGGTCGCGTGAAGTGACATACACGATTCAGTGTATTCCATCTGGATATCAGAAATTGACATTGGGTACCATTAGCTGATTTTGTGTATATCTCGATTAATTTCACTTCAATCTTAGAAGAAAAAACGAAAACAAAAATAAAGCATATAGGGTTAATAATCGACGTATATTAGTGCTTATGACATAACAGATGAGTATCATCGTCACTAGGGCTTCACTAGCCCATCTCAATTTCACTGAGTTTTCTGTCGTTATTTTTAGCTAGCCCTTCGGTTGCTCATCAGTTTTTATCTCCTCCTTCTCACATGATCGCCTCCATGTCAACTCGGGCCACCGCCCAACTTGTCGTTTCTCGTTTAGGTCTCACTCCAGGACCTGACACATAATGTTACTTAACGGTTTCCTCAGCATTTGTGCAATCTATAGCCAGTCCTTCGACATATTTGTTGGGTAACAGGTCCCACAACATCCGTGCCATCTGTAGTAGAAATTATGCTGCCCCACCGGATAAGTGAAAAAGGCGACTTCCTTTGAATTTCTTCCGCTGATGGCGATTCGTGCTTGTCACTGTTTTTAATCAAGTATCTTTAACAACTTTATCTACTCTATGTCTACTTAAAATCATGTCTTCTCTGCCTGCTTTTTCTGCTAACTTGATGGTTTCGCAAGTGGATCTAAGAGTTTATGTGACATTAAACATAATAACCATTAAAACGAAATAGTTGTAATTTTTTTCTAAGTTCTTTCTGCTCGATATTATAACAAGCCATGAAATTTTACGTAAAAGTGTATATGAACAGCTAGATACATAACACAAAACAACTCATTAATTAATCAACAAAGTCGTTTATCATGATGTCATTTAGCTAGTGGTGGCTAACAGTGAAATGAACTATGAGAAGACACGTGATGATAATGACGACCATTGCACATTTAAGAAATATGCTAAATTCACTATGCGTTTTTTATACCTAAAATCACATGTGAGGAGAAATGGATACATACATGTAAATTTATAATTCACTTCATGGTGTAGAAACAGAATGCAGAAATACTAAACTTAGAGAAAGTATACGTGAACGCCATTCACTGTTTCATTACAATTCCAAGAATGAGATTATACAGGTATATGGTTTCGAAGTTGTTTTGATGGTGTGAAGTTGCCAGTCTTACGCCCAAACATCCATTGCCTATCACTCGGGACCCAGAGCTCCCAAGAACAGACACCGAAGCAACTGATCTGCTGACTGGATACCAATCAATTTTACTGCAATCATTAAAAATAATCGATGAGCTTTCCTTCTGAAATCTAATTTTCCTTTCGTAAGTTTAAATTTCAGTCTACAATTGATCGTATCAACATCTATCTGACATAATAGGCCGCACTAACAAAAATTGGTTACATACTTCGTCTTTTTCTAATATTTCACAATAAGAAATCCTAGTTGGGATATTAGTATTGTAATAATGAACAGATGATAACACATCGTTAATTAACATGATAATTAAGTGGAATACTTGGTGAATAAAGTGTGTCCACTTGGTGTGTATGTTCCTCACAAAACTTAAAGGGCGAATCCAAACGTCTGGAGTTTACACCTCTACTGGTAGGCATACAAGTCTACCTAAAGAAACCACCAAAACCCTGATTCCAAAACCACTGGTTTACATGGGATCCAGAATGCGAAAGGATCCAATGGCGTATCAACATGTTTTGGTCACTGGAAACCATGAGAACATAGCTACTAACGCTTCTCCACTGTCTTGTGGATCAGACTTCAAGTCAAAGTCTCGAGGAGTGAGTGGTCCTTTAATACAACCAGCTGCTGCGGTGTGGGTGTCCGGGCAGTATCCTATCCCTCGGACAAACTGTGCGATTTTGTTTGGTGCATCTCTTGGTGTCCATAATGTACTACGTTTGTGTTCCAATATAATAATAATGATTACAAGACGTGACAAACAAATGAATACCCTGGTTTACGCAGTAAACTACCCACCCAACGGTTTGAATGTTAGTGAAAATTGTTGTTTCACAATACGCACATATCTTATTCTTTAAAAGCATGGTGACAACAGAAAAACAAAATAAGTGATGCTGGTGACAGAAAGGCTGATCAATATAGGTCAACAATAACTTACTGGAATAGGATTTTTGTTATATATTACGATGTAATGACTACTTGTTTCACCTAACTGTATTGTACCCAGTATGAAAGTTTTATTGATTAGTCGTGCACCCTGTATACCCACCTGTTATAAAAAAGGTACAGACAAGAGGAAGAGAATATTTTATCTCAATCAAATGAATGATAACACGTGTAATGTGAAGTAATTTCATATATTACAATGTATTATTAAACCATAAATCAAATTAGAAACTTGCGATTCACACAGTTTCAAGAGGTGAAATTTCATCACAGTATCCTTTGGATACCAAAATTACTCAGACCCAAATCGGGTGGTTTGAACTGACTTGGCTATCTGAGCTGAGTCACACCAGGCACACCGTTGATAAGCTCGGACGAAAACCAGCGAAACTGCCTTTCAGTGTCTGGATCACTTTGATCTGGCTAGCAACTACTACTAGTCGATGTGAGTGGTTAAACAACTCATCTGATTCAATCAGTAGTACATAGTTTTACGCTATTAATAAATCAGTTTTCCTTGTGAAAGGAACCCACGAGCATTTCGCTACACACTCACTCAATGTTATATTTGTAGCGCTTTGGTCAACTGATTTACACATTCAACTTTCAATTACTGGGTTACAAGTTTGAACCAAGCTTAACATCTTAAGAAAATTAGTCATCCAGACGGTATCAGTAGCTCCCAAATATGTATATATATGATGCGTTTTGAAAAAAGAACATTGTTCACCAGAAGAAACGATTCAGGATTGGTATGTGCAACACATTTCGTAGCCATCTTCACAACCTCATCGATTGACTTCCCTTCCTCACTCAACACTCTACGCTTAATCTTACTCATTTGATACGGGAGATAGAAGGCAAATATCTGTGGTCATAGATAGGTAACCTTTTCATATCTTCTGCTTTCAATGGTCATATTTCACAGCTATAAATGAGGACAGGGCGAAACTCATGCACAGTACACACGTCTTTTGATCGATAGGCGGATATCATCACTACGCGAGAGATGACGGAATTTAGCAAATGCAGTGCAGTCGTCTGAATATAACAATGAAAAGCAAAGTGTCTATAAAACTTTATCCAATAAATAATGCTGTTTCTCTGTCTGGTCTACAACCAAACTGATACAGGATTACCATGATCCAAAGTTCACTTGTATGCCACCAATGAAATTATTATTTGATGGTGGCACAAAACTGAGTATTTTTTTCCTTCGAAATAATAGAAGTGTGACTGAGAAATGACTAGAAAAACACTTTATCGTAAGGAAAGAAATTTATTTTATTTTTACACAATAAATTTAAGAAGCTACTAGAAAAGATATTATAAAAGTCTGCTACATCACTTAAATTGTGAAGTATATCATAGTAACTGCGTGGATGGAAGATATTACTAGTTTTATGGATGGGGGTTGTAAGAGATCGAAGATGATTCTACCAAAGTAGAAACAAACTCATAGCCAAGCGTTTTGACTTTTTTCTTATCAAATAGTTCTTAATTATCCCCAATTGCTGACTTGTTGGGATTTGATTCGTTTCACGTCAGATCACGAATTGATTTCATTTAGAAAGCCAGTGAAAATCAGAAAGTATTGGATAGTTGTCCCAACTTTTCAACAGAACGCACCTACAACTTCCACTCAGGACCCCCAGGTTACGAGGTCAGCCCACTAACCATCTAGCAAATGGAATGGAATTCAACAATTCATGAATTTTAAATTCTACCAGTTTTAGTTCATGAAAAATCCCCATTCGAACATTAATACAGAGAAGATCCGTAGTTCAGCGAAGAGTCTCTTTTCGGCAAATTCATTTTCTTAGCTGTACAATCACGAATATATATGGGTTATTTTGTATGTATGTGTACATTAAGTTTGTTAGCCAAAAATACAATACGCTTCTATGTGTATATATCAGTTCACCTGTTGCTGTGGAGCCAGGTACATCGGTAGTTCGATGCGAATCCTGTCAAAGAACACTATCCAGCGTGTCTGCAGAAAGGAAGCAGTGGCCGTATAAGGAGTGCAATAATCGAACATCTCGTCACTACTGGTCATTACTTTTCAACAAACGCCTGCTTCAAAGTAGTCTACCAAGTGAAGAACAATCTTCCAAAGACAGTACGTCTCCGTCTTCTTTGCATCGCAGAAGCCCTAGCCATTCAGTTAGAAGAACCAGAACTATGCATACAAAATTATTCAGCCATTTCTACTATCATGGTAACAACTCTGTTGATTTGACTTAACTTTTGTTTTTTTGCTTGTTTTTCTAACTACTTAGATTTCTTACGTAATTCCGTATTTTATTTTGTTTCCATGTACACCCTGAGCACAACTCTTTCATCAAACTATTCATGTTCCTACGTAACTCTCCTTTAACAATCGTTTGTGACAGCTCAACACTTTTGTTACTACCCTCTTCTATCAACATCCAATTCATCTGAATACTTTTCGTATTATGTAACTCCACCCAAAATTTACTAATTCTCACCTGTTTAGTTAAAATAACCATAACCAATTGTATTTTTGTTTGACAAACTAAGTGTACACATACATACAAAATAACCCATATATATTTGCGACTGTACAGCTAAGAAAATGAATTCACCAAAAAGAGACTCTTTGCTGAACTATTGGTCTTCTCTCTGACAATTTTTGCAATTTATAGCACTACTGCCAGCCAGTGTTATCAGCGATTACTTTACCCCACACCCGACCAGGTGGACACCACTGGTCAATTTGTTTTTAAAAATACATGCAATCCGAAGTGATTATGTAAACTACTAGTTAAAAAATCTGCACACATAAATCAATGAAGTAGCAACACTTATAATGCATCTACCTCAATATCCTGTGGCTATCCTTGCTCCCCTTTTTTGTCTTATTTGAGAAACTTCGGTCAAATTACTCAAATAAGTACAGCAATATTTCATGTTTTACTAATTTAACATTCGAATCATCTGTATGCCATGATCATTCTTAATTGTTGTTCTACACCTTATCTCCGGTGGACTAAATTATGTTAAAATTGTATAATAGAGCTATTAAGTTTTCATTATTTAGGTTGTATTCAGTTGATAAGCTACAAGCTACATAAACAATGGACCACTTTTATTCTACACCTTGTGTTGTTACTGCTTTTTAAAAAAATTCAGATTATTATATCATATGATAATCATGTCAGACAATTTCTGATGTTTTTTGGATCAAAATGCAATCTGGATAATGCTGAAAATGCAGTAATCTAATCCACGACAGAATCTATTTAAAAACCTTAACTAATTATTATTGTTATTAACAAGAGGAATGACCTATATCATAATGCTGTTACTTAATGAGGTCAATAGTTTTAACTGTTTTCTTTTGAATTACTTAATGATACGACCAACATGGGACTAGAATAACTGCGTAATAGCTTGCATTGATACATACCCAGAAATTCTAATGTCTCACGTGACTGCTACTAAGCAATCTAGAAAAACAAAATTTCTGAACAAATTCTATGCGGAATGCAATTTTATTTGGTGAAGACAAAACATAAATTAAGAAAGGCCGAATAAAACAAAACAAACAAGATAAACTTAAAGAAATCAGCATGTGAATCATTGGACAATACCAAAATTTACAATTTCAATGCAAGACAGAGAACTTCAAGGGCATTTACAATGACTAGATAATTCATTTTATTAGCCAGACAAAGATATCCATGATTTCTTTTATTTGATGTTAAATGGTTGAATACAGTCGGGGAGAAGCTGCTGAGACCTGGGTTTCGTGCTTGTTGGCACTCATCAGTAAGGTGTATCTGCTAACCTAAAGGAATTCATTTCCTTCATTACCAGATTATTAGCAGTAAAAAGAGTGTAAAACCTGAATATATACATACAGAAAAGACTATTTCGTAGTGTTAAAAAATTATGAGAATTTCCAATGTTTAATGGTTGGTAGACACCTTACCATTTTTCAGATTCCGAATGACTTCAGCTGAGATAATAGGGAAACATATTTTCTGACAACTACCACTAGCTTATAACGTCAGAAAAAATTTATTTTCTTGCCTGAAAATATGATTTGTTTTGGAGGAGAACACAACTATCCACCATTCTGACTGACTTAACTTGCTTCTCAACTTCATCACTGATCGACTACTTAATTTTACTGAAGAAGAGAAAAGATCACTATATAACTGGCGTTTTTTAACCTGTTACCATTTGAAGAATATATATTGAAAGCGAAATTCCATGTTTGAGTCAAATTGTTCTGATGGTAGAAGACATAATTAAGCAAAACAAAATACTCAAGTAATCAGTTAAAAATATTTTCGTCACATATCTAAAATGAACGGGTGTCGGTGGCACAGCGGTAGAATGCTCGTCAACAACGCAGTTGATTAGGGGTTTGTCCCCCGGACGACGCGCTCATTTACCTCGCTAAGCCAGTAACAAGACTAGTAAAGAGGAAAGTTTGGGCATTGGGCTAGCAACCCCATCTCGTAAAATAAACACCACACTGCTACAGAAACTTCAAAGCTCTAGCTTGAGGCCGTATGTTCCACTGGGAACGTAAAGGAATAAGAAATTTAAAAAATTAGACCTTAAATGAATAATCTGTAGGATAATAGTCAGAAAACGCAATATTTCTGGTGTTGGATACTTACCATAAAATGCATATTAATTAATTAAAGGACTCTGTTTAGGCATGTACAATACAGAAAAAAGTAAATTGTCTAAGAGGCTAAATAGTATCAATGGTGTAGACATTTGAAAACTCGACTGAAATTTAAATGATCGATACATTTATGTTATACTCAAAATGTAGTCAAAGAATAATAAAGAAGTTAAAGTATGATGCACAAACAGAGAAATTTAGAGTGTCAGTAGGCATTTGGACACTGCGGTAGATAGTGCTTCCACATAAGATAAGTTTATTTGATATAACTCATTCACTTTATTGAAATCTGAACGGATCCCTAAGTTCTTCACAAATATAAACTCAGTAATGGATGGATTCCAATTTACTTTTGATGAGTTAGAAAATGAACAACGTGAGTTAGTTAAGCTATACTCTAAAATAAAATGAAAACAAACTGGTATTTGAAGGGG